AAGGAGGGGTGGAAGGGTCGGGGGTTCAGTCATGTGTCTGGATGGATTCGCTCTCGCTTGTCTATCGCCCTCGCGCGTGCGACTAGCTTCTGTCTGCGTGGGGGAGGGAGGGGAGGGTTTGCGGGACTGGGGTGTGCTGATGGGGCGGGGATTGATCCCTCCTCCCCTTGAGCCTGTTTGACTCTGCGTGCTGATGGGACTGTATTTGTATGAGTATCACGGACACACAGACGAGTGTTACGGTTAATGACAGTTTCCCCCCCCTATATAGGTAGTCGGTTTGTATGTTTGTTTGTTTGCTGCCGAGTGGCAGCGAGCGAGGGAGCGGAGCTCAGGCGTTTGTTGCCGTGAATACAGACAGAGACCTATATATATGTCATATACAGACAGACAGACAGACAGACATCGATTGTGTGTTCGTGCGTGTGCGCGTGTGTGTGTGTGTGTGTGTTGGTGATGAATGAATATTTGTGGACTACTCGTCGGACAAGCAAACGTGTGGCCCTCAATGCATCAATCAGCGTTCCATGCACACATTGATATTTACTCACACGTGGAGTGCACGTACACACACTGGGGTCTTTCACATACGAAGATGAAGCATCCGTCCCTCCGTCTGTCAGTCAGTCTCTTTCGAGGTGCATTTATCCGTCGCGTTGTGTCTGTCTGCGATCATTCTCAGATTGTGTGTGCCCTGTTCGCCATCTGGCCTTGCTGCGTCTGATCGGTGCTGTCATCGTTGCTGTTGGTATGGTTGTCGGCAGCTGCCGGCACCCCTCCCCACTGCACACGACCACTGTCGTGGGTGCGCCGCGGCGGAGCACGTGCCAGCATCTCTGTGGCTGTCTGCTGGAAACGCGTCGTGGGAGAGGCAACCACGGCAGCAGCAGCAGCAGCAGCAGCAGGTGCCGCACTGCAAACCAAAAACCACACTGGGGAAAGTGTGCAAACCAGAAATGGGGTGCAGACACGCATAGATTTGTGTACCTGGGCGCAGCCATCTCACTCATCTCATCGTCCATCTTGTCCTTCATCCCATCCAGCTCGCTCATATCACTGAAGCGGCCGCCACTAAAAATAGCACCACAACATCCCAACACATGTCATGCACAACACTGCCACCCCCCTGCGCTCACTAGGGGCCTCTGCGGCGTACGGGCCTCCACCACATGAAGAATTCGCCGTGTCCCTCCTGCGACCGATACCTCTCCTCCCGCCGCTGGTCGCCCCCCTCCTCATCTTCGCTGCTGTCGTCATGTCGGTCATAGTCGTCAAAAGTCATTTCGTACTCGTGTCGGGTGTCGCCACTGATATCGACGAAACAACACAGACGACACAGGCACCCACATCACACACATGAGAAGGTCCGCGTGTATGTTTGCTGACCTGAAAACAGTGCCCTGGCTGCCCCAAGATGAGATCGGCGAGTCCCAATCAGAGAAGTACGGAATGCCCCCACCCTCTTCATCCTGCTGGCAATACAAACAGGTGTCCGTATGTGCAAAAAGCGGCAGATTCTCCTCTCTGCCTGCTGACCTCATCGTCGTCGTTATCGGAATTCATGTCGAGACCGTTACCGTCGTCATCGAGACCACCACCACCCTCGTCAGCCTCGCCGTCCATACCGACAGCATCATCTTCGCCGTCCACACTGTAATCCTCGCCCCCGTCGTCAGCACACTCACCACTGTCCGAACCCTTCTCCTCCACACACACGCCCATGTCGCTATCGCCTCCCTCATCAACACCACCCACCGGCCCCTCCTGCTCCTCGGTATCTCCTCCTGACTGTGGCTCGTCGCTGGCCTGGGCAGCCGGCTCGTCATCTTGGTTGTCGTGTGTGTCATGTGTGTCTTGGGGTGGGGGAGGGGGAGGGTGAGGGGCGGGGGCAGGGGCGGGATTGGGATTGGGATTGGCATTGACGTTGGGCTGCTGCTGGCCGAGGAGGCCCAGCCAGCCGCCGGGGATGGGCTGCATGGCGAGGCCGGCGCCCAGCCCCCCACCGCCGGCAGCGGTGTGGGAGTGAAGTACTCGTACTCGAAGAAACTCAGGAAGGGTCTGGCCAACTCAGTCACCGACGTACCCACACGACGGCGGGCCACGATGCGGGGGTTCTGCACAGGCACACAGGCATTGATGGGAGAGACCGTTCGCGCTCATCTGTCTGCATCCTTACGTTGGATGTGTCGCCCCGCTGTGCGCATCGGACCTTCCATGTGGCGCGTCGGTTGTTGCGCAGCTCGAGGCGGTACACTCGTGATGTGGTACCCGCTCGAGGCATCAGGAACGTGCAGTTGATGTGGTGGTGCAGATACGTCAGCTGGGCAAATGTCGCCGGGTGACTCTGAACACACACACGCACACACACACGCACACACACACGCACACACACACGCACACACACACGCACAGAGAGAGGGAGAGAGCGAAAGCGATGACGCAGGGCGCTTGTGTCCCCTACCCCCCCACCCCCACCCACCTTGTATGCCTTGACGCTTGTGCTTGGGTGCCACTTGCCACGGCCCTCACCCGCCTTGACCGCCACCACCACCGGCAGACTGACGCCGCCTTGGGGGTCTGCAGCCACGCGGGTCATGACGGGTCGCCAGGCCTCCCAGTCGCCGCCCTCCTCCCCCACCCACAACGTGGCCAACACACGACGAACCTTACGCTGAACAACACAACACAACGCAGGACAACACACAGTGAGCGGTGGATGGCGGGCGAGTAGCTGCCTGTGTGTGGTGACCGACCTTGGTTGAGAATTGGGGTCCTCAGCGACGGGGAAGGGGCCGAGGGGGCTGGGCTGAGGACCGGCGGGGCGATGTTCTGGTTCGAAACGCTCGTCAGCGGAACGAAGGGTGCCTGAAGACCGTGCAAGTACAAGAAGGAAATGACGGATGTGTTGTGTCGCTGGCCTGCATCCTGCCTACCGGGCATTTCGGGCTTGAAGGTGACCAAGTTGCGGGCGCTGTGAGTGGCGTTGAAGTGCTCGAGTCGCTGCAGCATGTACGTGAGCCGCAGACCGGCGCGGACGGCTTTGTTGAGTCGGCGCACACGAACCAACTCGCCGACGGTCATCTGGTCAGCCAACGCCCAGAGTGCGTCACCGGGAAGCGAACCGACGTCAAACATCTGGCAGATCAGCCATACAAACGACGCTTGATGCGGCTCATCGCTCGCAGCTGGTCATCTCTCTCTCTGCCGCCTCCGAGCTTACCTTGTGCGATGACTTAAAAACGGGGGAAGATTCGGACGCTGCGGCGCTCATCCTGGCAAGCCTCTCCGTCGACTTTACGGTGGCCCCAAAATTCTGGGGAACGATCGCCTCTCCCTTCCCTCCCAATTCGAAATGGACTCAGCCAGACATCGCAGCGCAACACGTCACCCCCACAACGCTGACATGCAAAGCAGCCAACAAGCCCAGCCCTGCACCTGCAGAGAGCAGCAAGAATCCGAGTCGGCATTGATGCAGCGCCATGGAGAGCGGGCAGGTCAACATCCCTCCTTGCGGGGTTCTTCCTTGTCATCTCTCCGTCGGTCGTGGTGCTCAACTGCCTGGGGACGTCATCGCACCAGGGGGGCGTGCAGGCCTACTCTGACCCTTGACACTGCAGTGGTCGCCCGGGTTAGTGATGATCCGTCGGCACAAGACGTGCAGATAAAGGTCGTTGTATAGAAGGCATTGATCATGGATGTTCTGAATGCAAAGCCAAAAATGGCGGGCGGGACTCAAAATCGGTCCTGCCCGATTCATTCTCAGTATAGCACGCAATCTTGCAATCAATGCATTAATCAATGCACAGCCATACACACATACACACGCATGGACACATGCGGCATGCACGAGTTTATTATCTACCCGCATAAACACGACACACACACACAAGCAGGCAGGCAGGCAGACAGGTGGCTGCAGGCAAACTAGCCTCACAGGCAGGCATTTGCGCGATGCCCTCAGAAGGCAGGCAGGCAGGCAGGCAGAAAGGAAGCAAGCACGAAAGACGTGTGTTTTCATGTCAGTGAGTGACGTCATCGAATGTGACTGAATGTCATGTAGTCTACAGAGGCGAAGAAGATCGTCAATGCCCCAGCGGCCAACCCACCCGCTCAGGGGAAGGGGAAGGCCGCTGGGGCATTCACGATCTTCTTCGCCTCTGTAGACGAGGTTTGAACGCAACGCCTGCACAAACAGAGTGTAGACACACGATGGGTGTCATGTATGTATATGATGTGTCCCGTCCCGTCCCCCCACAAACCTCTCTCTCTCCTCTCACTCGCTACCTCGCTCCATCAGAGACAGACAGACGCAGACAGACCATTGATCAATCAACAGACAGATTCCATCCGTGTGTATATATAAAAGGACAACAAACAAGTGTGGTGTGCATCCATCGTCAGTGGCGATTATTTCCCGGCGGGAATCTCTCGTTTGTTCATGTTGGCTTCTCGCCTGGCGGCCACCAGTCGCTCGCCCTGCCCCTTGTCGCCCGCAGCCGCCATCCGACGCAGCATCTTCTTCTGACCCGCTGTCAACACGTCCTGCAGTACCGATCCGAGCCGGATGGAAACACACACACAATCAACGAACACCCACCACCCACCCACCCTCCCTCCCTCCCTCCCATCTATTCCGCCCGCCCTCACCTGATGGAATGAGTGCGATGACTGGTAGTTGCTCGTGACGTCGTCCATCATGCCCATGCTCACGTCCATGAGTGTCTTGTTGACGCTCTCGTGCACATCGGCGTTGAGCAGGTCCTTCTCGATCTCGCACAAAAAGTGCTGCTGCGGGCCCAGGATGCTGCCCGGCCGGCAGATGCGGATCCAGCCGATGAAGGGGCCGGCCGGGAACTTGTAGTTCTTGATGGCGTACGCTGCGATCAGGGTGCCCGTCCGGCCCAGGCCGGCCTTGCAGTGCACCGCCACACCATGCTTGTGCGTCTCACACGCCATCAGGAACCTGGATTGACCGATTGACAGACAAGTGATGAGAATGAATGTTTGTGTGGTCTTCGCCCACCGACCTGACCCCCACTGACTGACCGGTCGATGACGTCTTTTGGCGGGCAAGCTCCATCAGGGAAGAAGAGGTCGATGTGTTGTATGCCGTAGTCGAGGAATCGCCGCCTGTCGTAGGTCTTGCGGTTGAGCCGCACCACCAGCCCCACACCCACCTCGCGGAAGATCCGCGCGTAGTCCTCGGGCGGCAGGTAGTGCTGCCCCTTGGCCTTAAGCGCACTCTGCTCCCGTGGGTCGAGGCCGAACGGCGAGGAGAAGGCCATGAATTTGTTGGGGATGACCCAGTTGAGGTCGCCGTTCTCGACGGCATCGTACTTGTCGTAGGCCTCCACGTCGAATGTCTTGTAGTCGAACCAGCCCAGCTTGATGGCGTACTGAATGCCCTTGAGGCAGTCCAGGATGCTGCACGAGTAGGTGCAGACGCCGAAGGACGCGTCGCGGAAGGGCAGGAGGGGCGGGTACACGCCTAAAAAGGGCGCGTACGCCTGCTCGGCCGTCTTGCCCAGCACAATGACCTGGAAGGCGCCCATGAGATACACCGCATTGGCCCGCTTCTGCGGGTCCTGGTTTGAGTAGTGCACCAACACTCGGCGGGGAGAGGGGGTGGGGAGGGACAGAGAGGGGCAGGGGGAGGAGGACGGTACCACTGGGGGTTGTGATGATGCGGCAGCTGCAGGGGAGGGGGGCGGGGGCGTGTGGTGGCTGTGGCCATTGGTGCCACCATCACTCGACCGGTGCGCCTCTGCCTCCCTCAGCCTCCTCTGCACCGCCCGGCAGAATCTGTAAGTGTGTCCCAGGTTGACGGGGCCGAAGTCCTGGAAGAATGGCTTGTACAGCAGCTTGTCATCGATGGTAAAGAATTGGACGGGCGACTGGTGGTCGTCGTGGCGGGGCAGCTGCGCCTGCAGCCGCTTTGGCAGCGATGCATAGTACAGCTGCCCGGGGATGACGGGGACGGCACCGATGTCCTCCAACTCACGCAACACACTGCAGCGAGCCCAGCCAAGAACAGACAGACCACCAACACCATACATACCATGCACACACAGACAGAAACACATGCATGCCATGGTGGCCATCAATCCCTTCACGAATGACTCTTGTTTGATCTTCCCTCCCCCTTGCTTACTTGCACGATTGGCCAGGTGGCTTTCCATTCGTCATCTCGCATCACCCAGGTCTGCCTCGACAGACAGCTCTTGAAACGATATATGATCAGTCTTAATCGATATATCAGTCATCCATTCGGCGACGGTTCCTGTAGAAGCGCACACACAAGGCCACCGCACACTGGCACGACCAGCTTGACTGCCTCAGCGTACTTGCCCACCGTCTGTCGTCTTCGTCACGGTCGTCCTCGTCTTCCTCATCAACTCCTTGGACAGATCAGCAAGTTGGAGAGGATGAGCTCGCAGATCGCATCCCGCCTCAACCTCTTGCAGTGCTCCCAAGTGTGCGATGGCGCAGCAGACTGTGGTTGGTGCGCAGGGCGAGAAGTATGTGATCAAGGACGGTGGTGAGAGGGTCATTGCTGCCAGCAAACGGCCGGATGGCACCACCAGAAAGGAGATTCGCGTCCGGGAGGGATACGTGCCCATGGTCAGTCAGCAGGAAGCGCACAAGAATCAGGCCGATGTGATGCATGGCATGCTCGAGTGAATGCGCTGTGTTGATGTCCGTCCTCCTGCTGCCTCTGTCTGTCTGCCGCCTCGCCTTACTTGCAGGAGGAGCAAGAGCGATTTCGCAGTACGGAGGTGAGCAGAGCAGCTGCCGGCATGCCTGAGTGGATGGGCTCCGACATATATCTCAATCAACTTGTGTGCATGTATGTGTGGTCCTTCTTCTGATGTATGTCAGCACTATGGTAAGAAGGGCATCCCTGGCTATGTGCCGCCCGATGAGGAGGCCCCTGTGAAGCTGAGCAAGAACGCCAAGAAGCGGGCCAAGAAGAGAGAAAAGGCCGAGAAGGAGGAGGTCGAGCAGGTCGAACGACAGGTCACCGACAAGAACTACGCACCCACTCACAGCAGAGAACGAACCACCGACGAGGACCTCGTAAGCTACCTACCCCCCTCTCCCACCCAACCTGCCACCATGCCGCTTCTCATTCGTGTATGTATGCCCTCCCGTCATCCATCAGGTGGATGGTCGTGCCGTCGACGTCAAGGAGAAAAAGAATGTGGCGGACGGTCTGTCGAGCGCCAATCCCGCATCGTCCGTACTCGCCCGCCCTCAGCTCGAGCAGGTGGCGTCTAAATTGGAGCGGCTCAAAGCCACAGAGGCCGAGAGCGATGACGACGGTTGTTGTAAGGGCAAGGACACAGACAAGGACAAGGATGCATCGCCGTCATCGGCCGCCAAGACGGCCCATGAGAAGAAGCTGCGTGGGTTGCGTAAGAAGCTGGGCGAGATTCAGCAGCTGGAGGAGAAGATGGCCAACGGATACCAGCCACTTCCCGAGCAGCTGATGGTCAGCCAGCCAGGCAGGCACTCACTAACGATCTGAGCTCTCGACATGGCGGGGTGTGTGTGTGCAGAAGCTGTCTCGCAAGGATGATATCGCCAAGGAGATCCTGGAGCTCGAGGACAAACACCAGGAGGGGGACTAACCGACCGACCGACCGATCGACCGACCGACCGACTCACTGCATGACGCGGTGTCGAGTGGCTGATGCGACACATCTCTCTCTGTTTATCTATCGTCTGTCTGTCTGTTGAGACGTGTGGCTGCCTGTGTGATGTCATAGTGCAAGGGGGATAAGATGGGATATGGAGGGAAGGGACGTACCGATGCCCTCTCTTGTCAGGACAACTGCATGCACCCGCAACGCTCCTCAACGCGACACCGGCAGCAGTGGAATGGCTCACGCAACCAGTGCCTCTGGGGTTACCTGGGGCCTAGGGTTTGAACCCTGCAGGCAGGTTGGTCGGCAAGGCCGCTTCGGGTTCAGGTCAGGTGTTGTAGCTAATCGCCTCGCATAGATCATCTATCGTACGGCCCTGAGCGATGGCTGACAAAGAGGACAAGAGGACACGTGGTACGACCCACCACATGCATCACGGACGCCTGCCGCCAGCGGCATGGATGGGATGCCTGTGTGTGTCGATGGTGCCTGTGTGTGGTCAGACGAGGACGTGGATGAGGACGAGGACGAGGCTCCCGAGGAGCCGCGCCCCAAGGTGGGCGATCTGGGCACCTGGGGAGGGCGAAAGGACGGATGGGGTGGCCATGGGCGGCACGGGACGCCCTCCAGCCGACGACACGGGCGGATTGGATTGGTTCATGTCTTGGCATCGTGTGTGTGCATGCCGTATTCGCGTGTGTGTGTCTGTGTGCCCTCAGCGCCCTAGGAAGGATGACGGTGGCGAGGGTCCGCCCGTAGAGGACGACGATGACGACGATGAGGAGGACGAGGGTACGAACAGGCGCACACGGGAGGGCAGACACAGGACAGACACACGCATGAATAGGACGGACGGCTGCCGTCTGACGCAACGCTTGTGTGCGTGTTGCTTTGTGTCGGTGTGGTGTGTGTCACAGATTACGATGACGATAACAAGGGGGACGATGACGATGACGACGATGACGAAGGAGGTACGCGTGAACCGGACCGGACACAGAGAGAGGCACAGCACACAGGCGCGAGGTTCATTCAAATCCATCTGTTGTGGTGATGTGTGTGTGTGTAGATGACGACGGCGGTGAGGGCGGCGAGGGCAACCAGGGCCGCGGCCAGGGCTATGACGAGGGGGACGACGACGATGACGTAAGCAACCCAGGGAGGCACAGAGACACATTCCCAAGACACAACACATTTGTGTGGTATGTGTTGCATTGCATGTGTGTGTCAGGATGACGACGACGATGATGACGATGACGACGAGGGGGACGAGGGAGAGGGCGACGAATAACTCAAGACACAGAACACACTACACCCACCACCAGGAGCGAGCGACACTCTCACACCCATGCATGTGTGTGGCTCGCCTCGCGTAACCTACCTAACACGTCCGCCTCTCTCCTCTCCTCTCCTCTGTCCCCCCTCTCGTCTCGCTCTACCTACCGTAGTGCATACCTACCTACCTTCATGCATGCGTGTGATAACACACATACATCCGTTGATGGCTGAGGCTTGGCAGGCGTCGCGAGGGCATCCCGCCATGGGATGCCCTTGCTGACCGCTTCGCTCGCCACTAGCCAGCTAGCCGCTACTTACTGACTCACTCAGAACTCGCTCACTCTCTTGATGGATGGATGGATGGATGGATGGATGGATGGGGGGCGGGGCGGGGCGGCTGTGTGTGTTCGGAGGGGTTTTCCTGCCCCACAGGCAGCCAGCCAATACGACGGATACATACCGATAGATGTGTGCTTGGCCGCTGGATAAGTTTTCTCTTGTAGGGAGGCAATTTCGATGGACTGCACACACTGCCTCCCCAAACAGTGTGTGCAGAGCATCGACTCTGCCTCGCCTCGCAACGAGGGGAACCTGACCGGCCGGCCTCGCTCGGCTCGCACATGAATGACATAAATGATGGATGAGAGAAATGCCCCTTCGTTTTTTTTTTGGCCTGTACGTGTCCCTACCGCCCCGTCTACAGACATAACCGACATATATCTTTGAATCGATGACATGACATGACGTGTGTGTATCGTATGTATCAGTCGGGAAGGGCGCGCCTTCTTTTTCGCCTCGTCTCGTCTCGTCTCGTCTCTGTCTGTGTGTCTGTCTGTCTGTCTCTCTGTCTGTCTCTCTCTGTAGCTAGCCGGAATGATTGATATGATGGATGATACCTGTATACTTGCCTGCCTGTCTGTCTGCCTGTCTGCCTGTCTGCCTGTCTGTCTTTTTGGCTTGTCGATCGAAGAGACGAGACGAGTGCACACACAACACAACACGACACACAGACGATACGATAGGATGGATGGAGGGAGGGACAGGACGGACCTCCGTGTTCGCCTTATGATGATGATTTCGATGCTTTGACGTGGCCTGGCCTGGCGTGGCGTGTGTGAATGTCTGTCTGTCTGTCTGTGTGTCCACCTTTTATCTCGACTGCCTTGCCCTGCCCTCCCCCCTGTGTGTGAGTGCGTGTACCTACCTACCCTACCATGGGTGTGTGCCGCTATGATGTCAGTCAGTCACATCACTTGCTGTGTGCCTGCTGTGTGTCACCATGGTGAGTGAGTGCTGTGTGTGTGGTTGGTTAACCGACTGCCTGTCGCCATCCCCTTTACGGACTTACATACGAACGACCGTACATCTGAATCACATCATCACCGATGCGATTCGATCGTGGGATTTTCGTCCGCCCTGCCGCACTCCCGTACGTCTCGTCTCGTCTTAATAACAACACAACTCACTCATGCGATGGATGCGACCAAGTAGCGTCCATGCGACGGAGCACCTAACCACCGATTCTCATACGGCTTCAATCACGTAGCGTAGTCTCTGTGTGTTTCTTGCCCTTCATCAATCCGTCAGTCAATGCGCTCGTTCCGCCCCACCCAGACAGAGCACCCACACAGCATCCATAATGCGCACACACACACGCACCGGAGGAATGGAATGGGTGTGAGTACCAAAATCGGTGGTGGGCGCCCCGTTTAGAGGGAGGGAGGATGGGTACGCAAGGCGGGAGGGAGGGAGGGAGGGAGGAGAGTGATGTGACTGGCATCCATAGCATGTCATGTACCCATGCAAGAAAGAAGGAAACAGATAGAGAAAGGATATAAACCCCTACGAGACACTCATTCACGCAACACACGCATGACACGTATGCAGCACCACACGCACCAGAACCAGGCCAGGCCAGGCCCTGCTCGGGGTCCCGCAAGTACGTACGTACGCAGGCAGGCAGGCAGGTGTTGGGTGCACTGCACTGCACATGATGTCTGTCAGCATGCAATGCAATGCAATGCAGCATAGAGACAGACAGAACCCAGAGGCTGGGATATTATATAAGCGAGGAGTATGTAAAGGGGGCCTTTCAGACACCGGCAGTGCACTGAAAGTATAAAGTCTAAGGACGATTGATGCGTATGTATGTCTGTATGTAAAGGCATGATGGCCATGTACTTGATGCAATGCAGGCAGGCAGGCAGACACGTACACGTACACGTACACGCGTACACGTACACGTACACGTACACGTACACATGCCATCAATGCACACGCACATGTATGTATGTATTATCGATCGAGGGGCAAAGGGACGGGCGGGGTGGAGCGGGCGGGCAGACGGACGGACGCATCCGTCCGTCCGTCCATTCACCCATCAAACATCCATCCAATCCACGCAGCAAATGGGACCGACGGACCGACACGTATCGTATCATGACATACACAGGTACTGGAATGCAGCCAGCCCCCCCAACACAGGCAGGCAGGCAGGTAGTCATGCATGACGGACGGGTAGGGGGGGAAGGGGAGGGGGGATGGGGAAGGGGAGTGTGTGAATGCAGCGTCCCTCGGTCGGCTAAGTGCGAAGTGAATCAAGCAAGAAAGGGCTTAGAGGTATATGTCGGAGATGAGCTAGCGAAGCAAGGAAGGGCACATGCAGGCCAGGACAGACAGCTGCTGATAAGGGAGAGGGAGAGAGGGAGAGGGGGCGAGAACCAGCAAGGTGGGAGTGGGTGAGTGAGCAGCCGGCCAGCCAGCATACATACATATGTATAAGCGTGTCCTGTACGCACGGTGGTCGGGTCAGGCAGACAGTGTGCCAGTTCGGTGTGTGGACGGTACGTTGCCTCTCTCTCAGTCAGCAGAAGGAACGAATCTCATCAAACAGTTGTTCACCTACTTACTATAGATCCTACGTCTTAGATGTAATGAATAGCTTGAAAGGCAGGCCACAATGCACAGGCACACAGACAGACAGACAGACAGGGAGGGAGGGATGGAGGGGGCGGCGCAGACAAGACAGCCGCCCGGTCCGGTCCGCCCGCGATCAACCAGCACGAAAATCCTCAGACAGACAGACAGACAGACGGACACAGCAAAGGTGCGAATGTGTGTAGATGGAGTCGGTTGCCTAACAAACCAGATCGAAGAAAGATGGCAGGCGGGTTAACATAACAAAACACCGACAGGAGGGAGGGAGGCAGGAGGGGCAAGCGGAATGAATGGTGTGAGTGAGGTGAGCGGCCCTTACAAACCATAATATGCACGCAACTCACACAGACACACACAACACACAAAAGGTACGTACGTACGTGTACACCACCCGCATTAAACCCAACGAACGAACCGAGCAACGGAAGCCATGCAGCAAACTCCACCTGTGTGTCTACGCAAAGTCTTCCTTCACGCGCCCCCAACCTGTGAGTGACCCCCTTCTTCCCACATCCGTCCACTCCACCACAACACGAGAACCTTCCTTCCTCACAAAGGGATCAGATCAAACGGAACAAACGCATCAAATGGACGAGGGCGACAACGAAAATACAAACACGAAAGTGTACACATGCACGCACACACACGCACACATGACATGAATGAGTGATGCTTGAAAACCTCCCGCCGCCCATCCCACCCCCTCCCACGCCCACCCCGCTCCGCTCCGCTCCGCTCCGCCAACACACACACGCACACGCAACCAACAAACTGCTGCTCACATCGAAAGATCGATCGCTACAAAGGGTACGGTACGTACGCATCCCTACAACGGATGGATGGACGGACGGACGGACGGATCTACTCGCTCGTCCATTCGTTCACTCGTCAGCATAGCATGCATTGCATTGCATACATGTGTCAGTCAGTCGTGGCAGTCAGTCAACATGATAAGAGATTAAGCACCGAGCCAGCCAGCCAGCCAGCGATGGGGCGATTGATTACTCACTCACTCAGGTAGGTAGGTAGGTAGGTATGCATAGAGATGCAAAAATGGATCGATCAATCGATGCAATCAGTCAGCCACTCACCGCAGACAGACAGAGATATCTCTTAAGCAAGCTACATAAAAGGACAACACAGCGGCGCCCCGGCAAGGCAACGATGACATCAGACAGACAGACAGACAGACAGACAGCCAGCAATTAAGGAAGCAGGCAGGCAGGCAGGCAGGCAGACAAGGAAGGAAGGAATTAACCAAGGAAGAAGGTTCGTTCGTTTGTATGTACACGCACACACATGCACAGCACACGGACATACAGACATCCATACATACATACCATACCTTGGTGCTGAAAAAGAGACCGACCGAAGGAATGACATGACATGTTCGTGACGTCTCTGTCTGTCTGTCTGTCTGTCGATGGATAACTGGTCATCGGTGTGTAGCGATGTGCCTATACATACTTACTCATCCCCCCGGCGACCCATCTCTCTCTCTCTCTCTCGCTCTCTCTCTCCCTCTCCACTGTCCGCATTCAGCTACGCGGAAATTACGCAACATGAAAGAATGAACGAATGAGAAGCCAAAACCCATGCCCATCCCATCTGCTCATCTGATCGGCGAACAGACGAACCCTGGGATATGGGGGCATCATTCCATTCCACCAGTGAATAGTCTGATGACACTACCTACCTAAGCAGCCAGCCAGCCAGCCAGCCGGCCAGCCGCTTTATGATCTCCCTCCCCTACGAGAAGACGGCATTGGCTACGGCGGAGGCTATATCCTCACCCACGCGCACAGCATCACCATGGTCGCCATCGCCATCCCCCCCGCCGTCGCCGCTGTCATCCGCCGCCTGCCCGCCGTGGCCTTGACCCTCCTCACCCTCGTCAGATTGTGGGTGCGGGTGTGCCGACGCACTGCTGAGTGAGACCGTCCAGCCGTCGCATGGCGACGAGGGGGATGCCTCGGTGACATTGGGGGGAAGGGGTGCCCACGAGGCGGATGGCGGCTGGGGTGGGAGGTGAGGATGGCCCTGTTCGGTCAACAACTCATCCTCGTTTGCCGGCTCTGGCGGCGATGGCCTGAACGAGCAAACTGACACGTTTCTATGGCATGTTTGCGTGTGGCTTGCTGGCTGTTGCCTACCTGTCGTGGCTCATGTGTGTGTCTTGTTGCTCTTCTGGCCCCGCCGTGACGATCGCGTCCAGACTGGCAGAGCGATTGACGCCCATGAAGGGGGGCGACGGGGGATGGTCACCGCTTAGTAGAGTCGCTGGGGCCGAGTCGGGGCTGCTCGCACCCGACGCGGCCATCAGAGAAGCACCACTAGCAGCAGCCGCCGCAACAGCTGGGGGGTGAGGAATGGGTGATGCAGGGGGTGAGGGGGAGGGGCTTGTGGCCTGCAGCGTCGCCGCCTTGGGGCCAATGCAGGCACTCACTATCTGCAATCAATCAATCAATACGAGCATACACGCGTTAATGAATGCGGCCATAGCTGGCTCGGCTCATCTGCATGCCCGGCCCGCCCACCTCTCTGAGTGAATGCTGGAGTATTTCCATCCTGTCGTCCTTCTTGCTCTTGTCGTCGCTCTCCAGGCTCATCCCACTCAGCACTGACGCCAGACGATGCAGCTCTACCAATGGCAACGGAGACACACCACCACCTCCGCCACCCGACGGACCACCAGGTGGCTGCTGCTGCTGCTGCGGCACTGACTGCGGCACAGTGACGGACTCATCCCCGCCCCTGCCTGCCGCAAAGCTGACTAGCTGTGCCTGAAGTGTCTGCACGATCTCCTCCCAGCCACCGTGATGGTGCGCCTTGTCGCTCACTGAACCCCCCGCTGCTCGGGGCTCCTCGTCATGCTGCTCGGCGGGTTTGGAGCTGACGGGGGGTGGCAGACGACGCAGCCTGGAGGACGACGGCTGAAGGCTGGGGGACTCTCCCTTGTCCACGGCAGACTTGTCGCCGCCTTCACTGCTGCTGCTTTTGTTGCTGCTGCTGGATGAGTCTGCCTTGGCCGCTGCCTTGTCCGCTGCCGCGCCCTGACGATCCCCAGTGGCCTTGTCGAGGTTGTGCAGCTTGACTGTCCGCGACATGCGCTTGGACAGGCCGCCGCCAGTGGGTGACGCCGAGGGCGACGAGAGCGAAAAGGAGCTCGACGACGACCATGACGAGTTGCTGGGGTCGTTGGCCGGGGAGCTGACGCCCTCCTGGGGCTGGCGAGCTGGCGGCACCTGGCACGGCTGTGATGGCTCCTCGTCTGCATCCTTGCTCTTGTCTCCTTGGTCGTTGTTGGTAGTGTCGGCTTCTTGCTCCGGCGGCTGTCTAGCGTTGGCGGGATCTTCTCTGCCGTCGACAGTCTGAGCAGTCTGGGCAGCGGCGGACAGCCCTGCAGGGCTGGACGGCGATGGGTCCTCGCTGTCGCCCTCGCTCCTCTTGCCGGCGAAGAGGAAGTCGAGACCGACCGACGAGGACTTGCCCTGCTGCTCCTGGTGGCTCGCGAGCTGCTCGTCCGGCGCATCTGATGACTGACGCGAGGGGCTGCCCTCCCCCTCTTCTCTTCCCTCCTGCCAGCCGCCATCCCTGCCCCGTTTCCTTGGCCCACTGCCAGCGGCCTCCGATGGCCCGTCGTCCTTTTGTTGCTCCCTCGACGGGAGCAGTGGCTGGCAGTAGACGGGTATGCTGCTGGCGTTTGTGGCTGTGGTGGCGCTGTTGGATGATGGATCCAGAGGGAGGGTCCTGAAAGAGTCCAGCTGCTGCGAGAGGGGCGGGGTGGCCCTAAGCGAAGAGTCACACGGCGGGAACGACCCTGTGTCTGTCATGCGCGTTGACGAGGGAGACGAGGAGGGGCTTGTGGGTGTGCAGTGCTCCGGCCACATTGATTGGGGTGGGGCGACGGGAGGGGGCGGGGGAGGGGGTCGAGCTGATGCCAGTCTCGCATAGGCAGAGGGCGGGTAGGGCGGAGGGCGCCCGATGGATGCCGAGGATGAGGGCGAGAGTGACCGCTGATAGGCGTGAGCCGGTCGCTGCTCAGCACCGGCTTTAGTTCCAGCGAGCGGTGGGTGCATCGAAGCAGCCGTGATGGGGAATGGCCGCGAAACCACCACCTGTCCAGAGAAGGTCTGTCCCCACGTCTCCACCTGCTGTCCTCCGTCGTGTCCACCCGACGATGACACAATGATGGGGTAGTCCACGCGGATTGTCGACTCATTGGGCAGCCACATTGGGGGAGGGCCAGCGGGATAAGACGGGGCCCTCTCCTCGTGGTTTGGAGACGTGATCCGCTGTGGTGGCGTGGGTGGCCGTCCCTCGTGCCGAGCCGACGAGAGTGACCGCGACCGTCCGTGGTGGATATAGCAGGAGGGGAGGTAGGGCGGTGGTGGTGGCGGCGGCGGCGGTGGCAGACCATACGCCGGAGGCTGGCGCTGCACATCGTATTGATGCTCGTCGTGACGCGGCGATGGGGGGGGTGGAGGAGCGGTGGTGGGCCAGCCAGGGGTATCCAGATGGACGCTACTGGTTGGCTGATGCTGGTCCGCCACGTCATGGTGTGTTGGGTCGGGTCTGGGCGGGTCTTCACTGTGTTGCCTTCGCTTGCTGCCCGGTGGTCGCTGCGTGCGCGTGAGGACCTCCACGTGTGGGTACTGACTCAAACACTTGAGCACTGAACGGATTGACGCCACACACACAACAAAAGGACCGATACAAGCCATGGTGAACATGCTCTGCCCTCCACTGCGTGCCGTGCCTCGCCTCGCCCACCTGATTCTTCCATGGGTGAGACCGGTCCGCCTGCCCCGTTGGCGCCGCCCTCTTGCATGTCGCCTGCGTCCTCGCCCGCATCTTGGTACATCGGCCGCTGCCCCTCACACGCAGGCGATGAACTGCAGGACGACGTCACCTCGCGCATGTGGCGCTGCTGGTTGTGTCGCCTCAGGTTGTCGAGCCCGTCGCCGATGCTGCCCCGGTTCCTATACTTGAACTTGTAGATGGGCCGCTGGTCGCTGGTGCGCTGCGCCCTGCGGTTCTCCGCAACACCATGGATGAAGGGACAGAAGTACAACTGACAGCGCATGGGCAGCTGACCCGCCGAGCGGTCAGTGTTGCTGCTACTGCTGCTGGTGCTCGTGTTCCATCCGAAGGGCTGGGATGGTGGCTGCTGCTGAGAGTCGGGTGAGTGAGGGGGGCCAGCCGTGTTGCTCGTGTGATACCTGTGACACAGCTCCGTCTGTTTGAACCACCAACCAACCAGCCAAGTAAGAAAGGACAAAATGTATGTGTGCAATGCATCAATCACATACATCAGCCGTGTCCTATACGTGTGTGCTAGTGCAGTGCACCGGTGCACCGGTGCCCCGACCTTACCGACCTTGTATTTGAGTGGGTGGTAAAGGTACTCCTCAGTGGAGTGGCAGAAGGGGCACCCGCCTCCCCTGGCGCACGCGTTGACGAGTATCTCGTGCTCGTTGACCGTCGTCCTCTCCAGGTCGGGCATCATGTCCTCATCGCCACCCTCACCACGCCGCTTGAACACCACATCGGGACACAACTCAGGCACATAACGCAGCGACGTCGGATCACTGACGAACGGACGACAACACACCAAGACGACGCAAGCATCAACGCTTGTGCTTGTGTATGCGTGTCTGTCTGTCTGTCTGCGCTTCACGTACGTACCTGATGTAGAAGGGGCATCTACGCGGCCACTCATTGGAGTGACTGTACTGGCACCGCTGGCCATAGTCGCATCGCCCATACTTACGCAGCCGCACACACTGCTTCGTCCTGCAATCAATCAACACAGACAGACAGACACACAGCACACACAGTGACTGACTGACCTGCTTCTGTTCTGCTTGACTCGTCCTCTCGTCCATCAATACCTACCTCCCTACCTGAAGCAGAATAGCTCCTTCTCTGCCAGCAAGGGCATCTCTTACGCAAATTGGCTACTCAAATGTATGCACATGACATGTCACTCTTACGCATCTCAGTCAGTCAGTCGGCCGGTCACATGACCAACAAGCGGGAGTGAGCGAATAATTACTCAATACACAGATAGATAGAACCGGAAAAACAAGACAGACCCTCGGACACACGGACACGCGGACACACGGACGGACGGACGGACGGACGAACGCACGAGACACTCACAAGCCAAAAAACCCAGACGGCGCGCTCAGACAAACCTGCAGCCAACCAGGCAGCTACCTAGTCAGCGCGTGAATGAATCACTGAACAAATAGACATCGCTGCTTAGCTTGACCACTTCACCGGCCACCCAGCAAGAGAGGGTAGGTAGGTGCAGACGTGCATGCAGACCGTGAGCAATTACACAACTGGAGAGAGAGGCAAGCAGTAAGTCCCTCTCTACCACCTATGCAGACAGACTGACAGCCAATTAACCACTCAGACAGACAGACAGACAGACACAGTCAGTCAGTCGGGCCCTCACTCTCTGCTCGCTCCCTCGCAGCACACACGACCTACCTCCTCAGGGACCGAAAGACAGAAGACAGGCAGACCAGCAGGACAAGTGCCAGGAGTCAAGAATGCCCACAGATCTGCAGCATTGTCGCATCAAGTCGCGAGTCGAAAGGGAGGCCGGCAGCATCCAGAGGCGCAGAAAACCGTTCAGGGGAAACAGGCGGACAGCAGCATGGCATCCGATCCCTGTCGCTTTGGGCGAGCAGAGATCTCCACCCATAAGCTCGCAACGAAAGGGGAAAGAGAAGAAGAAGAAGAGAAGAAGCCGACGGCGCGTGTCCTTAACATTTTGAAAGACTGCAGCCAAGATGGCGATGGCAGGTGAGCGAACGAACAGTACAGCGCTTCCCTCTCATCCGGTGTTGTTTGCGTGTGTGTTTGTGTGTGTACAGCGAACAAGCCGAAGCTCAAGAAGGAGAAGATCGTTTGCCAGATGAGGCCGCTGCGGGAATGCCTCGCTGACAGCAATGGTCAGGCAGCCGTCATGGCGGGATGCCAAGAGTCACGGGCGGGCAGCACGTGCGCGTGTGTGTGTGTCTGTGTGTCAGGTGACATCACCAAGTGCATCCCCGAGATCAATGAGTTCGAACGCACCTGCAGCAAAAAGTGCGTCAGTCAGTCAGTCGGTGAAACGAAACACGAACAGGCAGAGGATGGGATGGTGGCTCTGGGTTTGGTCCATCCATCCATCCATCTGTCGATTTTGTGCACTGCACTTGTTTGTCTATCTGCCTGCGTATCTGTCTGTCTGTCTATCAGGGTGGAGTACGTCCATGACCGTGACGGGCTGGATGACACGAGATCGGGGCTCTTCTCGGGGCAGAAAGACGCAACTCAACACTTCACGGGATGATAGCTGCATGACACAGACAGACAGAGGGAGGGAGGGGGGTGGGCTCGGGGAGAACGGAGACTGGCTGCCGCCTCGTGCTTTGCTGTGGCTGTACATTTGTGGTGATAGTGGTGGCTCAGCCGCACCCTATGCAGTGGACGGATATCGCGTGCTATCGTCTTTCTTTCCGATTAACACGTTCACTCGTCATCACAGTCTGTCTGTCCACGGCACACACACGCACACACCCGGCCATACCTGGTCGTCCACAGACACACAGACAGGGCTCTGCACAATCAGTCAACCCGTCAACGCATTAATTGCTCAGACCCACCCCACTCACGCCAGCCGTGTGTGGTGTGATCAAGGCATGGGTGCAAGGGTCGAAAAAGAGCTGCGCAAGACATCGATGGCTCTATGCTCTATCATCTGATACGAACTCCGACACGCCACACCGCGCCCGCCAATGTGGCCAAAACAAGGAAGGCAAAACTACCGCAAGGAGAATTCGAAAAGCGGCTGGCTGGCTGTGTGTGTGGCAGCTCATGCGCCCTCAATAATGGCATGTGTCTAGGGGGACGTTTGAATGTCATGGTTCATGTGTGTGGTGTGTGGATGGATGGCATATCGGCGAGTGCCTCCTCGCATGTGCGCGGTGATCGGTCCTGCTGCGCCAGCATGGCGTACTGGTGCTCCAGCAACGCGTCAAAACTCTCCTCCGAATCCTGCATGGGCACATATACATCGAGAGGTCTGTTGCCGTGTGTGGGTTGACTTGCCAAGAATATGATGGCGACGTGGTCCATGGCTTTCTGTATGATGCGGCGCTCCTTTCTGTCCTCAAAGACGCGACATATCTCCAACGCATGGCCCCCTGACACCCCCGCATGGAAACATTGACACTCGGAGTGTTTGAGGAGACACAAAAGGAGGCGCTTGTTGATGTACGTGTGAAGATGTCCGTCCTTCGACTTATCTGCCACACCATGTCCTCTGCCGCCGCCTGCATGTATGCGTATACGTGCAGTGCACCCCCCACACACACGAATGAATGCCCAATTCTCCGTTCCTGGGATATGCCGACCTGTGTGTGGTCATCGTAGCTGTCGTATTTGCGCACCAGTCCCAGGCATGCATTGCCGAATCGGTGCAGCAAACCAGGGTCGTCGCGGCCAAGCAGGCCACGCAAATAGCGCCTAAATATGCGACATACACATTGATGGGGGTGGGTGGGGGTCGGTCGGCCGGCGATTAGCTCAATCACTCACTTTGCCGTGTCGAACAGCTGGCCATAGACGTCCGGCGGCTCGTCGGTGCCGACGGCATCCACACGGTGTCGATAGTGCCCGCACCTACATACAATCGCACATACATACAGTGTGTGAGTGAGCCTTCCCCCTTCTGTCCCTCTACCCCCACCCCCACCCCCCCCCGCTCACCAGTCGCCTTCCATCCCCACATGAGGTCGGCAACAAAGACCCCGCTCCCACCAGATGCGACGCCGATACCACCTCACGCAGCGGTGAGAGAGGTGGTGTGTGCGTGGCGGATGATGCGCTGGTGGATGACGGGGGGCTGAGGGGCGACGGCGGCAGGATGGGTGACGACAGGGGGGAGGGGGGGGCGATGTTCAGCTGGGCAAAGAAACAATGCCAGAAGGGAGCGCTACACCACAGACCCTCGTGGCAACGGGCGCAACTGCAAAAAGCACGTCAGTCCATCCATCCATCCATCCATTGCATATATGACAAAAGCAGATCGGTAGCTGATGATACTCGCCTGGTGGTGAGGGCTGCGAGATCTTTGGCGACAAGGAATGAACAAATGAGCCCGCACATGTCCTGACAGAACGCATCACCACACACACGGCATATTTGCAATGGGTAATGCTGCAGAGATCTCTCACCTCCTGTGTGTTGACTAGGAAGGCAACGAAGGGAGATACACGGTCGGCCTGATGGACCTCCATTTCCGGCGCAGTACTACAGATCTGCCCCTGGCGGTGGCTCGGGCATCCGCCCAAAGTAGTACTTATACAAGGGATTTCCAATACTCGCTTCGCTCGCATTGAAAATCCCTTGTATGGGTTTTTTGGGGGTTCAGGGTTCCAAACCCTTGACCCAAGGTGTAAACCCTTGAGATTTTTCTTTTAAAGCTTTGTGAGTATGAAATCACCCTCTGGTCAGTACGAGACGTATATATGTATGTCTTTCATTCATTTAGTTGGCCATCGTCCATCAGATCGTTCGATATATAGGTGGGGGGGAGAGAGGCGACACACACACCTTAACATCAACGATGTGATAAAAATCCCCCCCCCTCGCTGCCGTTGGACAGTACACAGCCAACGCACTCACTCCATCGCTCAAAACCAAAGCCCACAGTCAGCCAGGCGACGAGGGAGGGCTCCCGGCCTCACACATGAGTGTGTGTCACAGACAGAGCCGCCCCCATCTGTGTGTGTGTGCACTCTCTCTCTCCTACACTATGCTGATCAAGTGCAGCTGACGGTAGGGGGCGTGATTTTCGTCTGGCAGTCTGAATCGTCTGACCTCCCCCTCCCTCATCCAAAACAACGCCGTTTTCAGCCACCCATCCAGATCGGACAAACGACCCACATCCCCACGGTAATCGAATGCTTTGTCCCGGCCGTCGAATCCATCACGCCACCCAATGTAGTCGTACTCGACGGTGTCGATAGAAAGTGTGGGCACTCTGCCGCCGTAGCCCTCCTGCACCACCTCATATCGACAACCAGACGGCAATGTGCCGGTCCGACGGCCGACACTGAAAAGAATGCAACAAAGATGGCCAATTGCTCTTGTCTGCTCCCTGTTGGGTCTCACCTGGCCTGTGGTGTGGGTGTGTCGGTCTTGACAATGCCGTACATGGCCGCGTTGACGTCAAATGGCGGCTGGTCCGTCTTGCCAGCCATCGTCAGGACGGCGGCCATGTCGGCCGGCGAGGCGCCGAGTCGCTTTCTGCGGTAGACGGCGACCATGCGGCCGATGTGGTCGGGATCCACCACCTCCACCGCTCGGCTGCTGGACCACCTGACGGCACACAAGCAGTGAGAAACACATCAGTGTGTCCTGAGTGTGTTGGTGTGATGGGCTCACAGGTCAAATCGGTTGGCCAGTGCGATGTCGCCCATTTCGTCCACAGTGGACTGAGTGGTCGAGATGAGCTGACCACACACCTCGACCGACCGAATGGTATCGCCGCCACTCAGAGGCAGCAGAAAGGGCTCGACGGCCTGACACACACACACAGCCACAACCATCAGACCAACGGCCTCTTCCTCCACCTCTGCTCATATCGTCACCTTTATCTCTTTGTCGAGATTGTCGCGTCGTTTGTCGGCGGCCCGCAGCTGTCCCTCCAGCCGGGCCCTCTCGGCGGCGTATGCCCTTATAATGCCTTCGAGCTTCCTGACTGTGTCGCCGCTGCCGGAAGGCATGTCAGTGGCCGCCAGCCGGGGCACAGGGGGCCGCGTCTGCCGCATCCTCGCCGATGGGCGATCCTTGTTGAGAGGCGTCATCAACAGCTTGACCCAGAAGCCATGGCGACCTGACAGACACACCACACACAGGCAGCCAAAGGCAAAATGACGAAACGAGAAGACTGTGTCATCGCCTTTATTGCCGTCACCCTTGTCGCGCTTGGCCACTTTATTGAGCAGGTGGCCGACCGACGCCGCCTTGCCGGCGCTGCGAAGGGTCTCGGCATTGAGGATGGCCTTGTGAACGGCCTTAAAGGCCTCCGGGCAGATGTCGAGGAACACCCGCTGGCTGTCGTCCTTTATGAGTCGGTCCTCCCAGCAGCCCCCGAAGAGGGCCGCCAGCGGAGTGCCCTCCACCCCCTCTCCCTGAGTCACGTGCTGCCGCCTGACGCTCATCAGATGGCCGCCCACATTCAGCACCAAAGTGTCGTCACGCGAGGCCGCCGAGGGGTCCGATGCGCCGTGCTGCTGCCTCTTTCGCTGGGCGGCCACGTGGGCGGCCTCGTCAGCCTGGCGGACCTGTGTGTGCAGCTGGCTGATGGCGTCACCGATGGCCGTCACGGGCACGTGCAGCTCCTTGAGAATCGCACGAGCGCTGAACCGCCGAGCGGCCAACTCGGCCTCCATCGTCACAGGGCAACAGATCTCTCACCGGCAGTCCCTGAACCACACACACACAGACAGACACCGATGTCAACGGATCTGTGTGTTTCTCGATTGCTTTTGCTTCGTCTACCCACCTGATGAGTAGTACTTATACAAGGGATTTCTTGGCAGATGGAGTGGCAGAAAGGCGTAGCAAGCTCAGTTGTAAGCTCGCAAGACAGCCGACTCTCCCTCCCTCCTCATGGCTCCCAAACGCACGGACTTTCCCCCTCTCGGGTGGCGTGAGACCTCGACTATCAACCTTGGTGGGCAAACAACGCCCATCACGTTCTGTCCGCACTTCCACGCACCCCTCGCCGATGGCAAGAGCAAGGACGGCATGATAGAGCACCCTGACGGAATGGTCAAGGAGATTTGCAACACCGCCTTCCTCAATTTCGTCAACACGAGCGACACGTATCGCTACATCGAGGGAGAGCCATGCGTGATGCACAAGGACGTGTATGACATCACCGGCGGGTGTTCCAAGTCCCTCACCAAGACCAGCATCGTGTGCTGTTCGCCTCGGTGTCGTGACGGCACCAGATCGGCTCGTGTGTGTGCCGACCACATCCCCACCAAGTGGAAGACGACAACCGACAACCCACTGCTTGCGTCGGTGTTGGAGTTCACGGCCAGCAAGCACACGGGCAAGAAGGGCTTTGTTTGTGCGAAGTGCATGCTGGAAGCGTTTGATGAGGTGAGAAAACACAGCACAGCACAGCATCCCATCGGCGTGCAAAGGTGTTCATCTCTGTGTTGTGTGTGTGTTTGCAGCAACTGACCATCATCAAGCGTGCGCGTATCAAGGATGGATGGTGTGTGGACACGCCCGACAACCACGACTCGATCGTCGCAGCACTGGATGGCACACTGATGCAGGTGAATACAGCGAGAAGCATGTGTGTGATGTGTGTGTCTATGTGTATGATACGAACGGCACCAACAACCAGCAGCCCGAGTTGGTCGAGTGTGTCACCTGCTATAACGCCAAGCCTTAGACGGCGTTCATCACCCTCCCTTGCTGCCAGACCAAGGTGTGTGAGGATTGTGCAGTGTTTACTACGACACTCTACCGCAAGTGTTCGTTCTGCCGTCGGCGTTTGTTGTTGTCGGACATCTACACGAACAACACGCCCACCAACACCACCACCACCAACACCGCCAGCAGCAGCAGCGTTGTTGACCTCACCCAGTGAGCAGCACATGAGTTGGGGAGGGAGGGAATGCGTGTGCGTGTGAGGGAGGGATCGAGTGCGTGTGCCGTGGGCTGGGAGTGAGTGTGCGGTGGGGTGGGAGCGAGTGCGTGTGCGGTGAGGGAGGAAGCGAGTGCGTGTGCGGTGAAGGAGGAAGCGAGTGCGTGTGTCGGGTGAGGGAGGGAGGGAGGGAGCGAGTGCGTGTGCGGTGAAGGAGGGAGCGAGTGCGTGTGTCGGGTGAAGGAGCGAGTGCGTGTGCCGTGGGGTGGGAGCGAGTGCGTGTGTCGGGTGAGGGAGGAGAAAGCGAGTGAGTGCCATTTTCCCAAAGGCCTCACATGATGTAGCATATTGCAGTGCCTGCGACTACTCATGAGCTTTATCTACGCACACACACATAGCTTTTTCGGCTCGTGACTGCACGTGCATCGTGCCTTTTATCTGTGTGTGAATGCGATTGCCCGTTTTGTCTGTCAATATTACGTGTCCGTGTGGATGTGTGCATGTAGGCAGGCACCAGTTTTGCTTTCACACGCTGTTCTGGGTCGGTCGATTCACGGAGAGACAGAGAGAGTGCTCGTGCGTGTGTACATCGTTATGAGGACACAAACGGGTCAGAGGTCAACACGTACAGACGGAACGTCATAGAAAAAGAGGGTCGTTAGTCAATACGCACAGATGAAATACATACACCATCCCTGCCCGCCTTCACGCACCCCATCTCCGCCCTCACTTGTTTTCCTCTCCGTTGCCCTCACCCTCCCCGTCCCCGTTCTTCTGTCCGCCAGCAGCGGCGGCGGCTTCCTGACCCGAGAGTGTGCCAGCAGCAGCAAGGGCGTCTTCTTGGTTGTTTGCCTCGAACAGGTCGTCCATTAGTTTCTGCTTCTTCGGCTTGAGCTTGTTGATGTCGTCCTTGCACTTCTGCACCTCCTCCTCGTGTGATCTCTTCGTCTCCTCGGCCGTGGTGAGGTCTTGTTCGACTTGCATCAACTTCTTCAAGATCCTCATGGCCTTCGTGTCCTTCTTTGGCTCATCCTCCATCTCCGCCTCCGGCTTGGGCTGCTCCTCGGGCTTGTTCTTTGGTGGACGACCTGGTCCACGTTTCTTCGGTTTGGCCTCGCTTTTGGCACTCGCACTCTCAGATCCGCCGTTCATGCTTTCTTGCTCTACGTCAACATCATCAGCGTCAGTCTTATGCTTTCGCTTTCCCGGCATCGGTCTTCGCCCAAAAGCTCGCATTGGCTTCAAGATCGCAAAGCTCGCACTGGCTTCAAGCTCGCAAAAAACCGGACACACTGGCGTCCGCTGTTGTTTCGGCCTCCCAGCGTCCCCTCTCGGCTCCCTGCCAGCCCCTCTCGCTCGCATCTGCCATCCCGCAACCCTCCTGTGCCCCGCATTCTCCCTCTCTCAATTCACAATGGGCAACTCCTTTCAGAAGAAGACTGGCGAGAAGGAGAGGGCGAAAACCACCAAGTCGGACGACCTCGCTGAGATGCAAGAGAAGGAAGTCGTGCCTATTGTCATCGGCAAACACACCACCAAAGGGGATATTCTGCTACTGGTTGATATGGAGGATGAGAACAACACCCACGTATTACTCAGCTGTCCACATGATGAAGAGGGGTTCAACTTCCACCCCCTCACGTGGAATCAACTTGCTGTGTTTATTCAAGACGGCAGTTTCACCCCCAACGAGGACAAGGAAGCCCCTATCCTCAGCTTCCTCAGGAGAGGTGGGATACAGAGGGAGGAAGGAGCGTTGTGTGCATCGTGCGTGTATGTGTATGTAGGTTGATGATTATTGGTGACCGATGGACGGACAGAAGTAAGAGCTTGGCGTACAGACAGACGCAGGCTACTTGCTTTGCGTACGAGCCTCGTACGTATAGAGATGGACATGTGAGTGACACTCAATGGGGGGAGAGGGGTGTGCTTTTTCTACGTGTCCGTAAATGGTGCCTGTCTTTCTTGTGCTCGCTGGATGCGTGCTTTGCGTGGCGTGGGCGAGGGAGGGGAAGACACATACTGCTTTCCCTGTTCTCGCTGCATGAATGCAAAAGGGAACTCACTGCATGCTTTGCGTGCATGGGGAGAGGAGAATATAACGCGTGGCGTGTGTGTTGCCTGTTTTTCTTGTGCTCGCTTGATGCGTGCTTTGCGTGGCGTGGATGGGAGAAGGGAAGGACACATACTGCCTTCCCTACTCTCGCTGCATGGACGCAAAAGGGGAACACATTGCGTGCTTTGTATGGATACATGGCGTGCTTTGTGAGTGGGGAAAGGGAACACACTGCTGTGTGCTTCTTTGGTGAATGCGTGATTAGATATGAGTAGCCGACATCACTTCATACGTGCTTGTCTGCACGTTTAATACGTAGGGAGAGAGGCGGGTGAGATAGATGACCGATGCGTGCTCACGTGCTTAATGGGAGGGAGGGAGGGACTGATGCGTAGATGCGTGTATGTCTGTCGTGTCGGCCTGTCTGTCTGTGTGTGTCTGTTTTGCCTGTCTGTCTGGACATACATACATTTTTTCGGACGATCTGATGGACGATGGCCAACTAAATGACTGAAGGACATACATATATACGTCTGCGTACTGACCACAGGGTGAACGCACATTCACTCCTCGTCAAAATACTCCCTCTCTCTGGGGTTTCTCGGTTTGCAACCCTACAACCCCAAAAAACCCATACAAGGGATTTTCAATGCGAGCGAAGCGAGTATTGGAAATCCCTTGTATAAGTACTACTGCCCAAGGCGCAGCCGGGCGGGGAAACCGCACTCAATATTTACGTGGGGGCCAGCCCCCAGCCTCCGCGTCTCAGCGAAGGCGGGCTCTCTTATATTCTCGAGAACGATGGGTCAGGTGTGTTGCCGCCGCGGTGTGCTCGGCAGGAATAAGTCGAAGGTCAAGCCATACGCTCCGGATGACGATGAAGACCTCCAGGACAACAACACGGATGCGGATGAGAAGCCTGGTTGTGCGACTGACAGACGCCAAGGATATGACGATCTGTCCGAGGCTACCAGCCGCATTGAGCTCTCCGTCAGCTGTTTCGACCCCACCGTACAGAAAGGCTCCATTCGGCGTGTATTTTGTGCCGTGGCCATCCGAACAGGTCAGCCATGTGCGCCTTGCATCATCGCACGCACGGTCACATGAACTCTTTCTGTCCGCCAGAATCTGATGAGGGGGAGTGGGTTTCCCTGGGCCCCGCGAGACAGGCGTCTGTGGACACCAACCGGCAGAGCCTGGACTTCCAGCCCCTCGCCGTGGCCCTCTACCGATTCAACGCCACACAACACCTACGGTGCATGAGTGAATGCATTCATGCGGACGGAGGAAGCGGACCCGGGGGACACACAGAGCACGCGCTCGGGCAAGGGTCACTCCCACTGCGCCTTCTTTCTGTGCGCATGTATGTATAGGTTTGATTTGTATGAGGAGAGTAGCGCCTCCCAGCCGTCAGGCGAGCGGCTGTTCTCTGCTGAGGCTGAGTGCGAGGTGTCTCACCTGGTGGCCAGCGGCACCCTCACTCTGCCCCTACGGCCGTCACACACCACCCAGGCCACCCCTGCCCGCCACGCAGACGAGGCAGAAGGCGAGGAGGACGAGGATGAGGATGACTACTTTGTGTCGATGCGGGCCAAGCACAAAGCTAAGAGGCACGACGAGCTCATCGAGATCGATGTCCGCTGCGTGGAGGCCAAGGGCAGCAACGACCTCATCAGCATGCACATACGCCCCCCCTTCGCCCGGCGGGGGGACAGCTGTGTCATCTCGGTGTGCAAGTGTGTGGACGAGCAGCTGCGGAAACAGATAAGGGACCAAGGGCCTGATGCCGCAGAAGACGCCCTGGACCGCGTGGACGCATCGCGAGCAGCGTCTTGTTTCCACCCTGTGCTGACCAGCGAGGTGTTGACGGCCCGGCAGCCGTCTTTCCATGCAGTTTTGCCGGTCAAGTGGGTGGTATCGGCTCACGACTGGGATGGCAAGTCGGTCTACAGCCCCGAGACCTGCGTTGGCCTCCTCATGCACACCAGCAACGTCCCACCAGACAAGGAAGGCGCGCTCGAAAATCGAACGTGAGATGCGTGGACGCACCGAGCCAGCCGAGAGATGCCATTAATTGTGAGGGTGTGTGTGTGCAGCAAGTGTCGGCAGCCGATGTGCAAGCACCTGACTGTGGCGATGGTCACATGCGGTGCTCTCAAGAAATGCTCTGTCGCCGGGTGGGTGGATGGGAAGGAAGCAACATTGGGTGGGAAGAATTATCACCGCGTCTGTCTGTCTGTCTGTCTGGCGTATAGCATATCCATCAAAGCCTCTGTCTTCGCACTGAGCCAGCGCAATGGCCTTCATCGTACACAGGCCAAAGCGCAGATAGAGAAAATCGAATTCGAGAAGCGGTGGGAACCATCATACACACCATGCAAAAGAAGAGACACGATCATTGTGCGTCTGTGGAAGATCCTGTGTGTTCTCTCTCTGTCGTGTGCTTGCAGAGTGACTTTCCTGGATTTTATCCACTCGGGTGTGAAGTTGGGTCTCTTGGTGGCCATCGACATGACGCAGAGTAACAGGCCGCCAGTCAACGGTGCGTCGCTGCACCGATATGAGGAGGAGGGCGGCAACGCTTATGAGCAGTGCGTGGAGGAAGTGGCCACGGTCATGCACCGCTACCTGGGTACATCCACATATACACGCATCAGAGAGAGACACGTCCTCTGTGTGCGGCCGGAAACCGCAGATAATGGCCTCATCGCTCCGTACGGATTTGGAAGCAAGTAAAGAAAGGAAGCGAATCTGCCTGCGTGTTTTTCAGCTTACCTCTCGGCTGAGTCCATGTGTCTTGTTTGTGCGTGGGTTGTGTTGTGTTGTGTGTCCTGACAGGCTGCCGCCCTCCAGCTACACATCGCACTGTTTCTCGCTGAAGGGCTGCTACTTCAGCCCCATGGTCAGGGGGGCACAAGGTATGATACCACATGTAACAAGGCGGGCCACATGCGTGAGGCAATCAGTGTATCGATCGCTTTTCCTGTACGTTCGCTCCCACCCTCCATGGCCATGGATGCATGTAGGTGTGTTGCAGGCGTACCGTCACGCCCTCAAGCACACGTGGTTTTCCGGCCCCACACTGCTGAGGCATATCGTCAGCATCGCAGGCAGCTGGGCTGCCACAGAACAGCACACCGAGAAGTACTGGGTCTTGCTCATACTTACGGACGGGTGTGCAACAAACACAACAAAGCCTCCATTCATGAGTGTCATGAGTGCAAACAAGCGTATTTGTCGTGCTGTGCTGCAGCGACCTTTCTGATTGGGACCTGACGAAGGAAGAGATACAGAAAACCGTTGACCTGCCTCTATCCATCACTATAGGTAGGAAGTAGGAGAGCAGCAGAACTCGTTGCAAAGGCGAGCAGCAGCAGCTTGTGTGATGTGATGTGATGACTTGCCTCTTACTTACCTCTGTCTGGCTGTCCTCAGTCTGTACTGACCACGGTGGCATGAAGAGTGGCGACGGCTTGGATGCGAAAATCATTGAGATGCGGCAGGCATCAGACAGAGGTGAGTGGAGAAGCAGAAAGGCACAACGCACCTCCTTCCTTGTTGTTGTCACACAAATCTGCATGCCACGTCCTATCTATGCATGCTCAATCCATATGTGTCTGTGTGTCAGTATCTCTGCACCGCCATCCCTCCCGAGGGCCCAACATAGCAGCCGATGTCCTCAACTCACTACCAGGCACACCACCCAGACGTTACACGACAAACCCTTCCCACAAATCTGTCTCTCCCCGCGCTTCATTCAGGTGAGATGACATCCTTCTACGAGCGCATGTCCATCAAGCCATCGAGAACCAAGCCCGTCCAGAAAACACACACGCGTGATCGGCGAACGCAGCGAAGGGGAAGGGGCCGCAGCAGATCCGTGTCAAGACACCAGAGCGAGGGACAAGATGCCGAAAGCATGAGCGTTCCCTTCGACGATGCCACCATGCCATCATTCTTGCGCATGCAGGTGAATTGGCACCGCCTTTGCCGGCGCGACAGTCTCCTTGTTTCGTTCAGATGCTGAGTACTGCTCGGGATGCCGTTGCGATGGGACACGAGAGGATGGAGGTCATGTCAGTGCTGAAGAGGGCCCCTTGTGCCGACGTCAAGTGGCTGCTCGACGTACTCACCGACACTGGCGGTGAATGATTCCCTCAGACACAGCAGCCAGGAACCCAGTCCACTCGGGACTATGCGTATGTCTCCTCATTCGGCACACCACCCCATTGCTGTTGCTGTGGGTGTTGTTCTCGGTGGACTTTTGGTAGCGGCTGGTGACACGTAGGGCAGAGCTCCTCGTACAGGCCCACTCCAGCACCCTCAACCGGAGCTTCCTCTTCATACTCTTCTGGGCCTCTGACGGGAGGCGCTGTCACTTCTGGGGGCGGGGGGTTGGTGAGCTCCTCTGCTCTGGTAGCCCACAGATATGCATATAGTTTCTTGAGACGGGCGTAGTAGCCCACGGCCAGGTCGGCACGCCACCGATCTACATCCTGTGAAAGAAACAGCAGTTTGCAAAGATGTCAGACAGTCACAGGTGTGTGTATCTGTGCTGTATATGTGTGTATTGTATATACGGCCGTCTGTGAGTGTCTGTCTACCTTGAATGTTCCTCTGAGAAATTTGCACAGCTGGATTGTGTGGTAAAACTCGTTGCGGACGTCCTATTCAACATTGACAGCCACCACGATTGTATACATATCATACGGGTGCATCCGGAATAGATTCAATTCGTTCTTGTGCTGCACTTCCTTCCTCACCTCAGACGGCAGCTCCAGTCGATACGTGGTCGGCGTCATCCCACCACTACAGCCACAGAGACACGATAGATACGTGCCCACTTACGCACGCATACAAGCAAAGGCTTGTCTGTCTCTGTGCTCAGCCTGCTTACGTCCATATGTTGAGGTAGAGGTGCATGTGGTCTCCCGGCGCCTTGTTGCGCGGTGCATGCAGGTTCAGCGGGCGAGACAGATAAAAGGCAGGGTAGCCAAATGGACGCTCCAAGTGAGCCCCCTCTGCCTCATCGGTCTCTGATGCCGATGAGGCCTCACTCCCGCCCTCCTTCTTGGCTGCTGGCGCACCGATGCCGAGGTCGATCGCTGCCGCATCCGTCAACTTGACCACTATACCCTGATGAGCACAACGACCATATCATGCACATACACCTTGCAACCAAGAGAGAAGAGGGCATGACACTGTGTGTGTCTCTGTCTTACGTACGTAGCGTGATATGATGACATTGATCTGAACGATCGGGTTCTTGGGCGCCTCGTCTGTGTGTGTGTCGACGAGGAACATGCGGCAAGCGTCGGGCCACTTGAAGTATGCCTCATACACCACAGGGATGTCCACCAGGTTCTTCATCATGATGCGGGCCACCTTGTCATCCATTGTCACTGGCTGCGACGTGGCGATGCTCGCGATAATCGCATTCTTCTTACGGGGCTCCTTCAGTCGACGAAGCAGACGCAACCGAATACAATGCCCGACCTGACATACGTCAACCACATGAACGGCGCGTGAAAGCATAACGGACAATCCGTTTCCATTCTCCTGCGGACCATTTCATCTGTAACTCTGAAGAGTGGCGACTGGCTGGTGGCGTCGGCGGGGAATGAAGGCGGCACGCCAGGCTTCTCGGCCACATACCACTCCAACAGCTTCGGCGGCACCGATGCCCCCAATATCGACAGCTCCTTCATCCGCACCTCACGGCCTGGCTCCAGCCGCCCCTCAATAGCCACGGGGAAGCGGTCGGCCAACATGCGGTCTTGTTTCGCCTCAAGGGTGCCTTTGCCCTCTCCCCCCTTCTGCTTGAGCCCATCCGCCTCGCTGCGCTTCGCGGCATGTTTGGCGCGTGCATCTGAGGGTGGTCTTTTGCCCTCCGGCACCTCTTCTGCCGTCTCAATTTCACCAGCAAGGAAGAGCGCCTGTCGTGTGGCTTTGAATGTTGGTCTCTCGAGCTGGCAGTCACAGGGCCGGTCGCCGTGGATAGGACATCCCTCGAGGAAGTCGATCCGCCGACGGCCCCTGAGGGAGACACCATGGGACAAACGAACAATGCAAAGTTTGGCACCTGGTCTGTCTGTCTGTCTGTCTCACCCTGCTTTTCTCCTGAGGTCATCCTCTTGCATGAGTGGGTCCACCTCACTCACAATGTCCTCCTCTTCCTCTTCAACCTCCTCAACCTCAACCTCGCCCCCCTCGCCATCGCCCCTCTCCATCTGACGGATCTCCTCCCTGCTGTAACTCGCCAATGCCACCAATATACCATACATCAGCCGCAGCGAATCGCAGCACGTCAGGCACTCCTTCAGGTTTCCGAAGATGACGTCGAATGTCTCCTTCTTGACGCGGACTTCGAGCGTCATGCCCTTCCTCCTCACACCCGACAACCTCTTGGCCATGATGGTCTTGAGCACCAAGCCGCCCCGGTCACACAGGCGAATGGCACACGGCTCGTTGAGCAGCTGCAGCAGAAACTCCCGCTCCTGCCCGTCCACGGGTATCTTGATGCGAAATGTCCGCGTACGGAGAAGAGAATTGGCTGGCGTATGCCGGTGGACCACTCGGTCCCAGCTGACTTTGGACTTCTCTTTCTCCTTCTCGACCTCGACTTTCCTCTTCTGGTCTGGCAACTCGGCGAAGGGCGGCAAATCGGGATCTGAGACGCACCGCACAACGCGCACGAAATCCCATGCAATGCCATCTCTCTCAAGCTCGGTTACCGAGAACGAGAACGTTTTTTATTGTCCATCGGTTCCAATCCATGGCTCATGACGCGTCCTCCTCGTCAAGTCCTGTCAACGTTCTTCAGTTTGTGAAGCGGCCCCCAGTCTCCCCCAGTCTCGGGGCGAGCTCCACGTGAGATCACCGAATATGAATTTGAACCAGCACGTGTCATATAGCGTTGAGGCATACATTGCGTCTCTATGGGTGAGCTACAAGGACGACAATAACCTTCCCAATATGACTGTCTTCATCGATTTTCTGTGTGTGGAATGTAGGAGGAACACGCCATTCCACGCTGGCACAGACGCCTCTATGCCGGTAGGTACACAGACCCACACAATCAACATACGTTAACAGGACTGGCATGCATCCCGGGACGCGTGTCTTCACTCTTGTCTTTCCCTTCCCCCACCCAATTCATTCATTCAGAAGCGCACTTCACCTCCACACCCAGCCACGGCCGTTTATCGGCATCGAACAAGGGGCGTGATAGGACCCACTTCAGGGTACGGGACCCTCTGCCGCATTACAGGAATAGGAGGAAAATTGGTGAGTGATCTCTGCACAAGTTGGCCTTGTATTGACTTTGTCATGTCTGGTGTGTGCAGAGCAGGAGGGTCATGAGAGGGCGTTGATGGTTTTGATCAAGGAGGCAGAGTGCCTCAGAAGCGGCAACGCCCCAGTGCAGCGGGTCATGCGGTCCGTCGACTACCGTGAATTCTGTCTCAGGCGGCTGGAGCTCCTCAACGAGGCGTACGCCAACAGGGCCATCGACGAGTGGCACGCACAGTCGGAGCTTCGCGACGTGTTGCTGGAGCTGCGGCTGTCGACGTTAGAAGTAGTCGAGGCCATCGACGTGTGGCGCAAGTGTCTGCGGCCAGGCCGCAAGAGCCCGTTAGCGGTGCCCTGGCTGGTGGAGCAGAATAGCATCCAGGCGCAACATGGCGACGGTATGCAAGCTCTATTCTGTACGCAATGATTGTGGCAATCCTTTGCTGTCTGTCCTGCAGACTTGAGGCCGCAGAACTATCTGCTGAAGATGACGAGGGACACGTCATGGCTTCCGTCCAGCGCCCTCTCGCGCCTCATGATGTTCTCTGCAAAATCAGACCCCTTCTTCGTCACGTCATCCGCCCCCGGCACCCTGTCAGCGGCCGTCACGCCAAGCAGCGCCACGCAGCACCAACGCCAAAAGACCACCAGAGACACATCCAGGCCGGCCACTCGCGCCGCGCCGTCTCAAGCCGCCTCCAGGCCAACAGGTGGCCCCCGGGTCAGCAGGACGGCCCAGAGTTGGCAGCAGAGGCCCGCGGCTTTGCCGCTACAGCCGTCTCTGCTCTCCCGCATCCATGCGGCAGAAAGCATCATGCTGCTCGAGAGGGCCCGAGAGAAACTGAGCGGCGGCGCTGGGTCGAGACAAAGCGCGAGAGAGCGACCTAGAAGTGTGCTGACCTTCTCCACTAAGCTTGAAGCTGTGCCCTCTCCCGAGCCAGGTACCTACACAGATGCACTGACATCAATGAGGATGAGCTGGACCCTTGCCCCTTCTCCCTTCGTCAGTTCCCGCGAGTGCTGAGCCTACTGAGGCCCCAATCGAGGCAGGGACGCCACTGAGCCTGCTCCCAATCGAGTGCACCACCAGCGAAATTGCGGACATTTTCCGCCACTATCTCGAGCATGTGGATGCCTCCCTTGCCAATTCTCTGCCGCCGTTGGGGGAGTGGGGGCCCGCGACGGCCAAGCACGGCGGGCAATTCTTCTGGCTCACCACAGCTGGCACTGGGGAAAGGGGAAAGAAGAGGAGGATAGTGGGGTTGGCAGTGTTCCGAAACGAGAAGACCCTCTCTGTCGTCTGCAAGGTATACCACCTCTCCGTCGCCAACACAGCCATGCTGCTCGACCACGACCACCACCTACACTCTACGCGGACAGAGGTCATGTGGCCAGAGGTGCTGTCCGATGCAGCAGCCACGGTGCGGCAGTACATTTTGCAGAAGCATGACGTGAGCAGCATCCGAGTGACGTTGGTGTGCCAAGACCTGCCTTCGGGGGAGTACAAGGTGGACCCTGCTGTGGAAGGCGCCTTCAAGAGTGCCGGCTTCAAGTGGTACCAGATGACAAATGTGGCCGGCGGCCGACGGGTGGTCATGAACACGACACGGAGAGACGACGACCTGCTGGAGGACACCGTGGCGGCTGCTGGCAGTGGGGGTGACGATGACACCCCGACGGCCCTGTCGCTTTGCGTGTGCACATCGGTGGTCCATGTGGAGCAGGGGGAGTGCCGGGCATTGCTGGATTCACCACACGCGATGTCTCTGTCGAGCCCTCTTGTGGCGCATGAGGGCATCAAGCGGTTTACCAAGCAGCACCCAGCGTCTCAGCAACTCACCTTAATGCTAAGGCTCAGCCGCTTGCATCATCCAGAAGTGGCCTCTATGGTGGAGACCGGCCCGCTACAGCCAGAACCATCATCCGATGACGAGACAGCAGCCATGGGAGGGGTGTTCCACCATGGCCGGGAGGGAGTGACGGTGAAGCTGTGTGTGTCTGTGTCTCGGTGGGGGTCGCCGGCGTCCGAGCACGTGGGCAGCAGCATGCGGCTTCACGCCAGAATGAGCGCATTCCAGGACACAAACGTCTTCTTCGTCGAGACGAGAAACGATGAAATCGTCCTCGCAATCGCCAAGGCGGCAGACACAGAGGCGGAGGAGACACCATCCCCCCTGTCAGCGTACGAGCACTACAAGAGTGTCATCAAGGGTGCCGCGGCAGAGATGGACCACGACCACTCGGAGGACTGCGAGGTCATCCTGCCCTGCACAGCCTTTACGGCTCACTGTGTGGTGGCGAGCAGTGACGGGGGTGAGGGTGGCAGTGTGGGTGTGTTGGAGCAGGTGACGGGGCGGCTTGATTTTGGCAGCCGGCTGGAGGGGGCGTTGAGTATGCCGCATTTCAGGGACGCAGGCCACGTGCATCGTTTGGTGGGTGGGAGGGTTGTGGTGGGGGTGTGCCACAGTGAGGTGGGCCTGGGGCTGCCGCTGATGGTCCTCACTCTATGAGCTCGGGCTATGAGGGAGGGTCGTCCCGTGTGGGCACCCGGGGTGGGTTTGCTCGTGGGCTGGCGGTATGGATACCGTACGATACGTGCATTGCATTCAACTCAACGCGTTGATTGGTTGATCGATACGATACAGACAGACAGACAGACAAGTATATATAAACACACGTCCTCCCTCCCTCCCTCTCGTGTCGTCAAAGGAACCACACACACACTCGTGGTCGATCGGCCAGGACGCCGGCCAAAAGGAACAAATGTATTGACACACACAATACAGACAGACAGATGGATGCCATGCCGGCTAGACATTCTACATACTTGCACAGCACACACCACGTGCAGACATACATACAGACAGACAGACGGACAGACAGACAGACAGACGGGGCAGGGCAGGGCAGGGCAGCAGTGGGGGTGGGGGGTGGCTGTGCGTGGCTGGCGTATATCGACTTGTGACCTGCGCTCCTGTCTATGTATGCCAAACACGGACGTGTGTCTAATAGTCTGTCTGGTCAATCAAAACAGGAAGAACCAACCCGTCCATCCCATCGAATACATCGACCTCACCCATCCATCGATATGATAAAGATAAACAAACACACACAGCGCATGGATTGGCTTGGCGGCTGGCTACTGCGGCCGGGCCGCTCCCTCCCTGCCCCTTGAATGTGACTGACTACCATCCATCCATCCATCCATGTGTCCGTCCATCTACTCGGCCATGGTCGGAACGAACTCCTCCTCCTCGCCCTCCATACCTAAACCCCACCCGACAGACACAAAACACCATACAACATGTTATGTATGCAGCCACGCATAACATGTTGCTCATCCATCCATCCATCCATACATCCACATATATGTACCTACCTTGTTCCTCCTCCTCCTCCTCTCTCTGCTCTTGGTGTTCGTCGTCGTCCTCTGCCTCCATGCCCTCCTCCTCCTCCTCTATGCGATCGTCACCTGCCAACCCGGAGCTATAGTCCACATCCATCAGCTGTGACGATACACATGCTGCGCCAGCTGGGACCGCGGGGGCGGCAGCAGAGGAGGCGCCACGGTTGCCGCTGCTGCTGCTGCCGCTCATCACAGGTGCCACCCTGTAAACGACACCCATACATACAGGACGTTAAGGACCATGGACGGCCATTGGCCAGCAAGGTCAGTCGCTCCTCACCTGATATCGTCTTGGATGCTGGTGATGGTGATCTTCATCATCGATGCCGCGTCGCTGTCCTGCTGCCCCACACCCTCGCCATATCCCAGGCCGTCGCGCTTGTTGCCGCCCCGCTTGCTGGGGTGTGAGTACATGGGCAGGGGCCGCTTCTCACTGCCCATGAGTGAGGCCAGTGATGTGGTCGATGACGCGTTGCCGCCGCGGGACGACGGCGGGGTGAAGGGGCCGCTCGTCGGGGGCGCCGCGGACTCGTCACCTGTGGACACGCGGATGGCAGGAGTGAGTCCTCATGTGCATGGGTGTCTGTCTGTGCAAACATGACTGACTGACTGACTGGGCATGTATGTACCGCCGAGCCGGAATATGCGACGTGCGTGGACAGCGCGACACCTGTGTGACCACAAGAGAGACAAACCCGCACGCACACACATACATACAGACAGCACTCACAGCTGCCTGCCTCTAGCTGTGAGTGCTGTGTCCCTCTCTCTGAACGCGTCTGTCTGGATGAATCGAATGGCGCACCATACCATGCTTCGATGAATCCGCCGGCCTCCTCCGCCAGGTAGGTGCGCGAGAGCGGCTCTCCGCCTTTCTTCTGCTTGAACGACCCACGCCAGCTCTGCTCATATGCACAATAAGACACACCCTTCACCTACGGACAGACAACGACACACAACAAACCGAGCAAGCAACTTTAGTCAATCAACTCACGGACAGACAGACAGACCCACATCCCATCTGTCTCTCCCTGGGGCCAAATCACGTACGTACGTACGTACGTACTTTGGGCAGCAGTGCGATGGTCTTGTTGATTTCCTCGCTGTTGTCCAGAGGCGGCTCCTTCACCGTCTGCCGCACGTAGTCCTCCAGCGACGCGTGTGCAGGGGGGAGCTCGTAACCCCCCTTCAACAGCTCACCGCCCCCAATTTCTATGTGCGTGTGCGACTCGTCCTCATTGCCCGCGTCCCTGCTGCTGCTGGCCGCTGCAGCGGCACCACCAGCGGCACCACCAGCGGCACCGCCGGTCATGCTGCTGGTGGTGCCGTTGCGGGCGCGTTTGGATGGCCGTGACGCATCGGCGGTATCGCTGTCGACTACTTCTAGGTGCTGCTTCATCATCTCGATGGCACGGACGGCACGACGACGGGCACTGAGGCATGAAGGGACAGGACAGTCGGAGAGAGGGAGATGAGAGAGGGTGTAGGTGGCTCTGTCTGGTCTGAGTGTGTGTGGGTAGGTATAGGTAGGTACCTACCGTTTGAATCCGTGCAGTTTGATGGAGTAGGATTTGACCCTCTCGGAGTCGCCGCTCCTCTTGGTCGCTACCCAGGCCTTGTTATGCGTCACGTACCGCACACCCGACACTTGCTGAACGAACAACACACCAAGGAAGGAAGGCACACAGACAGCAACCAACGCACACCACAAAGAAAGAGCCAAAGACCGACCCTGTACATACAGATCTATCTATCTATCGCCTTTTCACTCCACCCTCCCTCCCTCCCTCCCTCCCTCCCAAGCCATGCATGGCCTTCCTACCTACCTTGTTGGCCTTGATCATAGCGACAGCCTCCTGCACGGCCTGGTCATCGTCATGCGCCGGCTCAGCCAGCCCCGCCACCCAATACTCGTCCTCACGCATCGGACGACCAACGCCATGGTGGCGACCCTTGGACCCGCCGCCCTTCCGCTTGCCGTCGCTTGAAGACGATGCCGATGCCGCCACTGATGCTGCCGCTGATGCTGATGCAGCCACAGCAGCTGGCTGCTGGTGGTAGTGGTGGCCGTTGACCTGCGGAACCTCGCTGCTGGCCTGCGATGCACCGGTGGGTGAGACGCCCCGCTTGCGTGAGCGCGTGTGCGCCGATGGGGGGAGGGTGGGGGAGGGGGGGGAGTGGTGCTGGTGCTGGGGGTGGGATGGTATGAGGCCCTCGAGACGGTCCAGACGGGCCAGGATGGAGCTGCACGAAGAGGTGAGGGCGCGCAGATCATCCGAAATGGCGGATGCGGAGGGGTCAGGGGCGGGGGTGCATGGGCTGAAAACCAAGGAGAGAACAACAGGACAGACAGACAGATGCGCGTGCAGTGGGCCTTGGAAAAAGTGTGTGTGCGTGTGTGTGTGTGTGTGTGTGTGGTGGATCTGTCTGATTCACAATTACACGTGTGTACATTCGTTGGCGCAGCAGCTGCATGTGTATCTGCTGCATCACGGCCCTCTTCTTGTGCTCAAACCAACGGCTACCCAAGTCAATCAACAGCTCACGCTGACAATCAATCAAATCAAAGGCAAAGACATCACACATCCATCACACGATAGACAGCCGTGCTGGTAGGCCCTTCTCTGTCTGTCTGTGTCCGTTCCATCTATCGCTCACCCCGGGCAGCAGCGGCGCGTTTGGGATCGAAGTGAGCACTAGATGGGGCCACCACAGCCTGGCCTCCTCGCCCACGCCCCCGCCCGCCCCGCACTCGACAGCCATCGAGGCGTACACTATGTGGAGCCGACAGTTGACCTCCTGCGACCGGCCAAAGGGCTCGATGGCCGCGTGGTGATTGAGGAACGCCAGCTCGTTGCCGCCGCTCTGGGCGTCGATCTCGGCCATGACTACGGCGGCATTGTGTTGAGTCGACCTTGTGATGAGCTTCAGCGGCATCTTGAACCCCTGCAATACACAACACACGCAAAGGCGTCCATCCATCCATCCATCCATCCATCCATCCGTGTGCCAGTCTGTCTGTCTGCCGGTCATCTCCTTTCTTTCCGCACCATGAGGTTGTGTTCGGCAGCTGCAGCGGCCGCTGCCGCCTCGACTGTGGTGGATGACGCCTGTGAGAGATGTGAGGGAGGGGTCAGGCGCAGCAGACCGGTGTAGTAGCCCAAAATGACTGGACGGGGCGACGCCGGCACAGGGGCGCCGAAGTATCCCACACCTGTCAATCAGTCAGGCAAAAGTAAGAAGATGTGTGTTGTGTGCGGTCCTTCCGTCGGTTGCCCCGCGTGTGAGCGGTTGGTGGCTGGCTTTGTGCGTGCGTACCATAGCATTTCTGGTCAGGTGGCGTAGTGAGGCGCACATGGTGCGTGGGGTCCTTGATCTCCACCAAACGAATGGCCGGGGGCTGACCGACCGCTGTGATTGATGTACACAACACAACCATCGATGGATGACCCACACACACAAACACAGAACACATGCACTCACTGCACATCCCTGTCTGTCTGTTTCCATGCAGCTTAATTGTGCTATTCCCTCCCCTGTGTAGGCACCTCTCTCGCCCCCTTGTTGCAGGCAGGCCAGCAGCTCTCCGCGCAGGTTGGGGTCGCCCTGGCCATCCGCTGTCAGCCCCAGCGATGCCGCAGACACAACTACTGGCGGGTGAAAGGATGACGACCCGGGGCGGGGCATCGCTGGGCACATCACGGGATTCCATAACGCAGCCGGCAGCTTCGTTATGGTTTCTATCGCCATCTGCGAATCGGCCAACACAAACTGACCTGCAATCACATTTCAGACCAGAGCACAGCACGCCAACAACACATACATCGTTTCGGGCCGTCTATGCTGTGTTGTGTATATCTGTCTGGGCTCTATTGCGTACGTTTGATGCCGAAGCGGTGCCTCTGCGCAGGGTCCCGCAGCAGATCAGCATACGAAATGGGCACCAAAGGTCCATAGCTCATCCGTGGCGGCGACGGATCCATGGCTGGCCTGCCCGTCCGCACCTTCTACACCTCTGCGATTAGCGGTTTCACGGAACTCTTCCCCTTGCGACCTGGTGTGTTTCAATCGCAATTCGTCTCTCGGGCTGGCGTATGGAGTGCTGGCCATCTGCCAGTGCGCTGCTCTACTGCGTCGTGACCTTGACAGTCATCCCATCATCAGCCTTTCATCTCGTCCAGCCGCCGCCATTCTACCTCAAGGCTGCTGGCACAGCGAGATCTCGCGTGTCAAGCCTCGCATCAGCCTCGACCGAAGGTGAGCAGCTGTCTGGATGAATGGCAATGAATCGTCGCATGACTCTGGTGTGTCCATCACTCACTCCCCAGGTGCTGAGGGCGTTGTGAGGCGCAAGGTGGTCTTTCTGGGGACGCCAGACGTCGCTGCGCTCTGCTTGCAAAGGATCCACAAGGCGGCTCAAGAGGACTCGAGTGGGTTTGACCTGATGGGTGTGGTGACCAACCCGCCTGCACCAGTCGGCCGCAAGCGCACGGTGGTCCCGTCGCCAGTGCAAGCATATGCAGAGGAGAACGGCCTGCCCGTCTGGGCGCCCGACAAGCCGTCCGATGAGGCCTTCTTGAACGAAATGGAGGCGCTGTCGCCCGACCTGTGCATCACCGCGGCCTATGGCGGATTCCTACCACAGCGCTTCCTCGACATACCTGAGTGAGTGATTGAGGGGCATGAGGGTGGAGGGGAGTCAGTCAGTCGTGCATTGCAATGCATTTGAGCAATATATGTTTGGCTGGCATGTGTGATTAATCGATGGCTGGTGCGGTGCTCCCTGAGGTATGGGACCCTGAACATCCATCCCAGCCTGCTGCCCAAGTACCGAGGTGCAGCCCCTGTGCAGAGGGCGCTCGAGGCGGGCGAGGCCGTTACGGGCGTGAGTGTGGTGCGAACCGTCCTCAAGATGGACGCAGGGCCGGTGCTGAAGCAGATAGAGTACCCCCTCACGGGCGACGAGACCTGTCCTCAGCTACTGCACACACTCTTTGAGGTGAGCGGTGCACAGCAATGGAAATCATGTATAGAGAGAATTTATGTGTGTGTGATGGGGGGGTCAGCTGGGCACCGACGCGTTGCTGGATCTGCTGCCGTCGGTGTGGAGGAGGGAGGCGCCAGCACAGCCACAGGATGAGAGCCTGGCGACAAAGGTCTGCATAATGCACGTATGCATTGACACAAATGGAACACCCGTCCGCCCCCCACACTGGTGTGTGTGTGCATGTGTGTGTGTGTGTGTGTGTGTGTATGACAGGCGAGGAAGCTGACAGCGGATGAGGGCGAGCTGCGCTTCAACAGGGAGACAGCAGCAAGCGCACACAACAAGTAAGCCGAGCCACAGGCGGCCACGCAGGCAGACAGGGGGGAGGGAGGGAGTGAAGGAGTGAAGGAGGAGGTCACAGCCACCTGGCGTATACGTACATATGCAAAATCATTCAGGATCCGGGCCTTCTCTGGGTGGCCCGGTTGCTGGTCAGAGTTCACTCTCACTAGCGGCAGTGACGACGACGCACCGCCACAAGACACAGAGACGCTCAAAATGAAGCTGTTATCCAGCCGGCTGCTACGTGGTGGTCCGTCCTCTGCCTCTGACGGCAATGCATCGTCAGCGCCCCCATCAGCCGACCGGCTCATAGACCTGCAGGGTGACGCACTCAAGGTGGGCAGGCAGGCAGGCCGGGGAAAACGACCCACGTAATTGATGCCTGCTGCTGAGCTGAATATGCTGGTGTGCATACCAACCATACCTGCCTGCTTCAGATCGTGTGCTTCGACGGCAGCGAGCTGGGCATCACGCAGCTGCAGCCCCAATCCAGAAAGGTAAGGTAGGCCGTTGTGAAGTGAGTGAAGTGCGGTGTGTGTGTGAGTGTTGCGTGTATGGCTGCTGTATGTCTGTCTGTGTGTGTGGATGCATTGCAGGCTATGGGTGCGAAGGCCTTCTGGAATGGGCTGCGAGGGCGCTTGGTGCGGTGGGTCGGAGCAGAGGGGTAGACAGACAGACAGGGGGGATGCATTTGTTTCATTTCAGGCCAGCTGGACGTGCATTGCCTGCCTGTGGTGATGGAGGGAGGCAAACAGACTGTATGTAATGTGTTGGTCGATGTGACGGTGTCAACAACAATCGCTCTGACCGTGGCTACTTACTTACACAAGAGTGAATGAATGACTGCACACAGCACAGCATATCCATACGTACGCACCAAGTGAGTTCGCCGCAGACCGACATGCAATGCAATGCACTCTTGTCAGTCAGAATGAATAGATGAAATCACACATGTATGTGTGTGTGTATGTCTGTCTGTCTACACAAGCCTTCCTTGTACGTACAAATACATACACACCACATGACGCACATGCACACCCACCTGTCGACCTGTCAGCCATCCATCCATCCATCCATTCAGCTATCCATCCATCTATCTACTCAGCCCAGCCCCGCTGGCTGTGTGCATTCAATAGAGGCTGGTCTGCTTCATGATAGAGAGGAACTCCTCCTCGTTGACTGAATGAACCAAAACACACACACACACACACAGCGAGTTGGGCAAACAGCCACTTTTCATGTGTGTGGATTGGATCGGTCTTACTTTCGCCGTCCATGTCTTTGTCGAACTCGTCTATCATGGCCTGCAGCTCGTCATCGGACAAGTTCTCACCCTAACACATCACATCACATGACATCCACAGAGTGCACACCACACATGCATGTATCGACCCATCCATCCATCCAATCCCATCCACCCAGCAGCCATCCCATCCAATGCATTGATCGATCAGACAGACAAGATGCCTCCCTCCCCCTTGTGTGTATCCTGTGCGCACCCACCCACCCCCTCCCACCAGTTCCCTAGCGACACGCCGGAGGTTCTTGAGCGATATGCGGTCTGCAGCAGACACAAACACACCCATCCCATAGGTAGGCACTGTATGCAGCCGCATCTCCGTCGCCCTACTTGTGTTATCGTCGTCGAAGAGTTTGAACGCCTTGCGGATCTCCTCGTTCGGATCCCTCTCGGCTGTCTTGGTCGTCACTGCACATGCAAGACGAAAAGGGAGGGCATCAATCGTCGCGTCAGCCTGGCGTGTCTTGTGTGCAGGCAGCTGCCTCACTTATTTCCAGAAAGTCGTTGTAGTCGATCTGTCCGCTGCCCGTCTTGTCATACTCCTTCATGAGCTCCAACACGTCAGCCTTCTTGACCTCAAAACCCAACGAACGCATCGCTACCTGACACGAACGAACCACCAGCCAACAAAACCAACGAATGGCTGGCTGGCTGGCTCGGATGGGATGGGATGCATTCACACTCTCCCTGTGTACGCTTACTTTGAGCTCGTGGTAGTCGATTTTGCCGCTCTTGTCCGTGTCGAACAGATCAAACGCCTCCTTGATCTCCTGCATTGGATAAAACATGATGCACACCCGTCCATTCCATGAGTCTGCAGGCCACGCCATGGTTGCAGCGGGTGTGGTGTCGTTGCTGACGCTTTTCTGTTCCTCTGTGATGTCTGCGCGCGTCCTGCCTTTCCTCCTGCCGCTGCCCTGCGGCACCAATGCTGACGAGGCTGGCGGCCGGCTGAAGTGACTCATCTAAGCTATCGATGAGTCACCCAACACTCAACAACGCTATCCACTCGCTTTTTTTCCTCCTTTCTTCATCCCCTCTTTTGGCGAGCTTTTCGTGGATCGCATGGACCGGCACAGCCTCCCCCCAACATCCTGCGGGCGCCGATGGAAGAGGGAGAATGAGCATGTGACAGATCTCTATGTTTGTCGGCCTTTGGAATGCGTCCTGGAACGTGCGATCTTGCATGCAAGCGTTTGCGGTTCCTGGCACTTGTTGACAACCGAAGACGCCCGTGCCCATCCTTTCCGCCCACACCAGAGGAAGATCTCCCCGACAGATCTCACACCATGCGGCCTTCCAACCTTGTCGTCCTTTCCGCTGTTGCTTCCCTCCTCTTCTCAACAGAAGGACAGGCTAACCGTGTGGCATCGATTCATTTCATCGGAGAGAAGATATTCGAAACAGGTATCGTACGGGGTGCAGAGGAAGGCGCCTGACAGAAACCGGCTGCTGCGTGTTGTGTGTGTGCAGGCCTTCAGCTTGACGGCACGGAGGTCGGCGGTCTCTCGGCCATCACATACGATTACGGCAGGGAGCTGTACTACACACTCTCGGACGACCGGAAGGACTACCGCTGGTACACGGCTGGTATTGATGTGAGTGATGACGCGGCAGACGGCCCTCAGATCGACGTCCAGTTCAACAGCGTTACGTTCCTCAAAGCCGGCGAGGGCCAGCCTCCATTCGCGCCAGAGGAGCTGGATCCCGAGGGCCTGACGTTGGTGGGCCCCCACGAGCTGTTCCTGGCTGAGGAGGGCGTCCAGACCGAACTCATCGACCCCTCTGTGCGGTCCTTCTCGCTTGGCGGCACTCAGGACAAGAACCTGTTCGTCCCCCACCCCTACTTGCCCACGGCCGACGAGTCCAGTGGCGTCAGGAACAACGCCGCTTTTGAAAGCCTCACGGTGACGCCAGACCGCAAGTGGCTCATCACAGCGACCGAGAATGCGCTCTTCCAAGACGGCCCGGCACCCACCACCTCAGAGGGGACTTTGTGCCGCATACTCATCTATGACCTCCGCACTCACCTGCCCGTGGCTGAGGACTTTTACTATACCGATCCCATCGCCGAGGAGCCGGAGCCGGCTGACGAGTTCTCGACCACCGGACTTGTGGAGCTGCTGGCTATCAACAACGAGGGGTCGTTTCTGGCCCTCGAGCGGAGCTTCTCGGTCGGCAAGGGAAACAAGGTCCGGCTGTACGAGATACACGTCGACCTTCCGGCTCACAGGACTCTTCGCCGCCTGTTCGAGTCGCTGCCGGCTGTTGAGGAGACACCCGACTTGGCTTCGCTGGCTGTGGACAAGACGCTGGTGTTTGACTTCGACCAGCTGGGCATAGAGCTCGACAACGTGGAGGGCATGACACTTGGGCCCAAGTTGGCCGACGGCAGACACCTGCTGGTGTTTGTGTCTGACAACAACTTCGACCGTGAGCAATTCACTCAGTTCCTGTTCTTTTCTGTCACCTTTGCGGAGTGACTGACTGCATGTGATGTGGTATGCGGTACGGCGGGCGGTTTTTGTAGTAGGGGTGTAGTAGGTAGGGTATGCATGAGATCAAGGGGAAGGAAGGGTCATCCATCAAGTCTATCTAGGCCGCGACGATCGATCGATGGCAAAACATAGCCAGGTGCGGTGCGCAGCCTTTGGTCTTGTCTTGTGCTGTCAAAGTGCATCTACGTTGGTGTGGTGTGATTGGTTTGTGCGTTAGTTAGTGAGCGAAACGAGTGGTTGTCTGTGTGCCTTGTGCACACGTACGTCCATGGTAGACAGACGTACGGAAGATAGCACATTAATTGCATGAACGGTGTTGTCTCAGTGTCGGTTTTGTAGTGAGCACGTCACGTGCATTGCTTTCCGGCTCTCGTATGAATTGATTGATTGACTCACCGATTTGTTGAACGCAACGTCCCCCGGAAGCTCTGTAGCTCTCGCGTCTCGTGGGCCGCTTCGTAGGTAGCAGTGCTTATTCGCGAAGATCTCCGCAAAGGTTGGAGAGGTCCGAGGCACGTTGCCTTGAACAGCACTCGTAGCTAGCAGCTGCAGTCCCGAAGATCTCGTGAGCAGTCCCGCGTTTTAAGCAAGTATCAGCGCATCCAGACCACCATCATGGCGAGTGAGCCGTTCGTGCGTGCTTCGTTGGGCGACTGCCGGTTCTACGAGCAGCGGTTCCCGAAGCCGGATGACTTGGTGATGGTGATCGTGCGCCGGATAGCCGACATGGGAGCGTACGTGTCGTTGCTCGAGTACAACAACATCGAGGGCATGATCCTCATGTCTGAGCTCTCCAAGCGGCGGTTCAGATCTGTGTCGAAGCTCATCCGGGTGGGCAAGACAGAGGTCGTCATGGTGCTACGCGTCGACGAGTCAAAGGGATACATCGATCTGTCAAAGAGGAGGTGGGTGGGCCAGCCAGCCATGTCACACAGACAGACAGGGCGGGGTGTCTTGCTGTGTGTGCACTGGATGCGTGTATGCTATGCAGGGTGTCCCCAGAGGACATTGTCAAGTGTGAGGAGAAGTATTCGATTGCCAAACTCGTGCAGACCATCGTCAGACACGTCGCTCAGGTGCGCTGCACGACTCGACTCGCCTGTGGATGTGGATGTGCGTGTTGTGTGGCGGATGCAGACCAAGGGCATGACTGTCGACGAGCTCAACAGCCGCGTCACATGGCCTCTCGACAGAAAATATGGCAGCGCACATGAAGCGTTCAAGGTATGTATACAGGCAGACAGCCATCGAGGGATCGACCCACATCTATGTGTGAACATTGATGTGTTCCTATGCTGTGTTCAGGAGGCCGTCGCGGAGCCCGATGAGGTGTTTGGTGGTCTGGATGTGGCCGAGGACGTCAAGGAGGCCCTCCTCTCTGACATCAAGAGGCGACTCACGCCACAAGCCATCAAACTGAGGTCAGGGCAGGGAACGCACCGCACATCGATGGATGACCCACTCACTCACTGTATGTGTGTGTGCCCGTCCGTGGCTGCTGTGCTGTGGTGTGTGCAGGGTGCGATTGGATGTGTGCTGTTTTGGCTACGAGGGCGTCACCGCCGTCAAGGACGCTCTCATGAAGGCACACACCATCAGCACAGAGGGGGTACGCGCACACAGAAACGACACCAAAAAACGCCTTGAGGCGGCTGGCGACATCGTGTCCATCTATGTTACTTCCATCCATACGTACACAGCAGGAGATGGAGATGTCAGTGAAGCTGATAGCGCCCCCGCAGTACGTGCTCATCGGCTCATGCCTCGACAGACAACTCGGCATGAAGAAAATGAAAGAGGTCCGCACCCCCCCTCCACTCCCTCTCACTCATAAACATCACGCCCTACACACATAAACGTATTGTGGTGTTGCTGCCTATTTGTCTATCTATCTGTCTGTGTGGCCACCAGGCGATGGATTTGGTGAAGGATGAGATCACAAGACGGGGAGGCACATTCGTGCAGAAATCCGAGGTGGGTGGGCTACACATAGCAGACAGCATGGACACTGGCAGTTTCCCCCTTGCCTATGTTATGTGTGCATCGACTGATCAATCCATCCATCCATTTATCAGATCATCGTGGTTGGCGGTGAGGACGAGCGCCACCTCAACGAGCTCCTCAGGGAAGCGGTGAGATAGATGCCCCAAACCGCACTCACACGATCCACTCATCCCACCAACATTCGGCTGCACTGCACTGCAGGCCGAGGACGAAGAGGGCGACGAAGAGGAGGAAAGCGATGAGGAACAGGTAAAACCGCCCGAACACCACCACACCGCACACTACAGCGCTCACACGCGTCGCGGCTGCGTCTTGTCTTGCAGGACGAGACGATGGGTGAAATCGGCGAGGACGTGCCCGAGGACGAGGTCGAGGGCGAGGATGGGGCCGAGGTGGATGAGAAGGGCGAGGCCAAGGAGGCCAAGGCGACACACCAGGAGAACGGCAAGGAGGACGGCGATGGTGGGGAGGACGGCGAGGACAAGGAGTGAGTCAGCCACGTGGGGCCATCTCGGGTTGGTGGCTGGGTGACTGACTGGCCGACTTACGTACATCAATGCATGCCTGCATGCCTGCATGTCGTGTGTGTCGCGTGTGTGTCGCTGGACTTATTTGTCCGTCATTTCATTCATTCAATCTACAGGACAGGACAAGACAGGACAGGACATGTGTGCATTGGCCCGTTGGTTGGTTCATTGATGTGACCCTCCTGACTTGACGATCGCTTACTCGACAATGCAATGGTGACGTGGTGGCATGGTGGCGAACTTCCAATTGATAAGTTCGCATCAATGCCCTAACGATCCTCGTGAAACATTGTCATTGCAACGCGCACCAACCGCTTTCTACCCTTGCTGTGTTCCCTCCGATGAGTGGACTGCTGGCGGCCATCAAGGCTGGACTTCTCTGGAAGCCGTTGGTCTACAAGACTTACGACTGCAACTTCTTCCATGTCAGCGCACATACAACAGTGCACAGAAAGCTGCACGAACATCCATCCATGTGCCGGCCGCCGCTGCTTGGTTATGTTGGTCTTGTGCTGAGTGCTGCAGACCCCAGGCGGCTGCTACAGGGGCGGCGCATGCATCTATGCGCACGGCGTTGAGGTGCGCAGCACAGCACATGGCTGTGCGGCCGCCCGCGTGTGACGGATGGATGGATGGTGCAGGAGAGGCGCACCTGTCTGGAGAACATGGAGGAGCTAGAACAACTGCGTGGGAAAGGCCTGCTGCCGGACGACATGCCTGGCCTGCAGGCACTTGCTGCTGCTGCTGCTGCAGCACCAGGTGGGTGCCTCACCCACCCACACCACAAACCGCAACGGATGTGTGGATGGATGCGTCAATTTCTTGTGTGCACGTGGTGTGCTGCATTCCCTCCACTCCATCAGTCGCTGGCAGTTCGAGCAGCGGTGAGGCACCCCTGCCTGTGCGCATCCCTGGCCTCGATACCCGTTTCATGGTATATATATTTGCGGTTAGCCAGACAGACTCACAACACATACATACATGTACCCACCACAGCAACCACCTCGTGAAAACCGTGTGTGTCGGTGGGTTAGTTGGTGCAGAGTGCGGAAGGTCGTCGCCCCGGCGGCCAAGTGAGTTCCTGTGCGCACAACGAGACGGTACGCAACGTGACGTGGGGAGAGCGGGCGGGTGCGCCGTCGACGCGCGTGTGTGTGTGTGTGTGTGTGTGTTGTGTGTGTGGTTCAGGGCACTGGTGCGCAGCATGTGAGTGAGATAGCTGAGCATCGCATGCCGACCCTCGAGCAGGCCAACCTCAACCCCACCACCACCGACCCCTCCCCTCCCTCCCGCATCGGTGCACTACTGGCCGACTATGGTCTCGACGCCCAGCACCACCCTACGCTCGCACCAGCCAACGGCAATGACCAGCCGTCGCTCGTGTCAGAGGAGCTCAAGGCCAAGTGGGATGCAGTGAGGCCGGGTCAGCACACTCACACATCATGACGCAGGGAGGGACAGAGGGAGAGGGAAAGGACGCGTGTGTGTTTGTGCGTGTCTGCGTGTGGCGCAGGTGCGACGGGCGGGTTGAGGTTCCACAGCTCTGAGTTGAAGGCACTGCTGGGTGTGGATGCCGACGCCGTCCCCTCGCCGTCCTTCATGCGCATCAAGAAGCCACATGACGCGTGAGTGTGTGCACACACGACCCTCATTCCATGCACTGCCGGGAGGGAGGGAGGGAGGGAGGGAGGGACAATGAATTGACACAACATTCATCCATGCATTTGGGCGCAAGTGTGTATGAATGTGTGACGTACGTGTCAGCACCCGTGTGATCCCGCCCCAAGCGTTGTTCGAGTCACTCATGGATAGCTTCTACAGCAAGGCCCTCAACACCACCGCCTCTCACACAACCCCCTTCCGCCCCCCCATCATAGCGGCCGTGGCCACTGCACCTGAAAGAGCATCACCCAACACACACGACCAGGCATACGTGCTGTGTCACGACCGATACTCGGCTGGGGTGCTCGAGCAGGAGGGCCGTGCGGGGGAGACGGTGGGGTACGCGCGGATCAGAGGGCGGACCAAACTCGTGCTGGCAACAACCGATGCGGACAAGTGAGGGAGGGAGGAGACAGAGGGAGGGCCCCTGACCATGTGTCATCTATCTGTGTGTATGCTATGCAGGTGTACAGTGTCCAATCCCACCCTCTACACTGAGCCCATCCCCCCTGACCAGGCGCCGACAGACGACAGGCTGCGACTCCAGCGAGATGTCCTCCAGCACGTTCCTCAAGAGCCTCAATGCATCCATCAGCTCGACGAGGAGAACATCGATGCCGACCCAGCAGATCATCAGGGACATCAAAGGCTGCCGTGCGGGCGTGGACGACGAGGTATGCAATGCCACACGAAGCACATGCAGTAGCGCACACACACGATCGATGGATGGATGGATGGATGGCTGCAGGTGGCGGTGGTTGACTGTGCGACTGCGGAGGACCGTGATCGTCTGCTGCAGATCCGTTCACCAACGTTCATGGGGGTCGAGAGGGACCACTTCTTCTGGCCCTCGTACGCGGTGTTCATGCCCCTCACGCCAGACGTAGATAGCGCCATCAACAACGGACACACCTCGTAAGCCACTCTCGCCAACGCATACATACATGGACGGCCGGATGGATGGCATACACGACATACATCTGAGGCCTTTGTCCTATGCCGTGCAGGTTCCGGTCCCTGTACCCGTTGCTGCAGCCTCACCTCCCCACAACCAAGCCACGCACACACCCCACACACACACACTCAGCCGCCGACACTCACGCCCCTGCCGCGGCTGGCGCCCACGACATAGCCGATGCCCAGCCGTGCCAGATCGTCTTGCTGAAGCGACGGAAGAAGGTCAAAGGAGCCCAGGGCAGGAAGAAGGGCGACAACAGTAGCAGGGAGCTGACACCAGAGGGGGCGAGGGCGGGGAGTGGGGGGCGTGGCGCTGACGGTGTTCACGGCATGGTGGCTCAGCAAAACGGCCTGCAGCAGGAGGACGGTGCTGGGTCATCGGCCTCCCCGCGTACCCATACCCATCACCCCTCAGCCATCCCCGACGGCCAGAGCGTGCTGCGTCCCATCTCCCCTGCTGCACACGCTCTGATGCGTCCCGGCCAGCAGCGTGGCGGTGTTGAGGAGTCGTTTGGCGGCGGCGGTGGTGATGGTGGTGGTGGTGGTGTGGCCGAGGCGGGGAGTGTGCAGGCACTGATGGAGGAGGAGAGGATCCTGCGGCTGGCACTGCAGGAGCTGCAGCGGAGGAATGACGAGAGCAACAAGAGGTGAGTGAGTGAATCGGGGAAGGAACAGTCAGAGAGGAATGAGACATCGTAGACATCGTCCCTCTCTCTTTCTGTGGCGTGTGAATGGTGGGTCAGGATTGAGACACTCGAGCACGACAAGCAAAGCGCTGAGGACAACGTAGCCAAAGCCAAGAAGGAGTAAGGCAAGCACCGAACGACCAACACAAACACGACTCCACCTATGTGTTATGGTGTGGTGTGTCGTTGTTTGGCTCTGTTGGGTGAAGCCTTCAGAAGTACAAGAAGCTCGCAGCAGTGGCACGTGACGCAGAGCAGAGAAACCGCGACCTCGAGAACCAGTAAGCTGAACACATGTTCTTGCCTCTCTCTCAGCCGTGCCATGTCGGCCGATGGATGCCCGATGTGTGTCTGTGTGGATGGACGTATGTGTGCAGGCTGTTCTTGCACAGAACCGCTACGACAAGGCCTGGGAGGACCCCAAGGGCACCGCCTGGACGAACGAGAGGTACTGCCACGTCAAGAGGGCCCTCTATCAGCTCGAGTCACCTGTCCGTCGCACCAAGAGCCTCACCAAGAAGCTCAAATGCTCCTCATGTAACACCCACCTGGTACGCCATAGCAATGCAATGTGCCCGGTGTGGGCGGCACATGTAAGTGTGTGCATGTGTGTGCAGTGGGACCATGTCATCCAGCCGTGTGGACATCTGGTGTGCGGCGCATGTCAGCCCGAGGATGGTGCTCCATGTCCCATCTGCCACACATCCATCTGCGGCACAGCACAGCTGACCCTTCCCTACACGACCGACGACCTGCCCACCATGCTCGACACCTACGAGAACGCCGTCGACGAGTGGCGCAAGGCGAAGGCAGACGGACCACCAGCCCACCCACCTCCCTCGTCGCTCGGTGCGAGTGCCGCTCAGTCGAGCCAGCAGCCAGCAGCGGAGCAGTCGGGGGGTGGTGCTGTTGCCATCAGAGGGAGGAGCCCCCGAGCCGCCAAGAAGAGCGCACCGAAGCCCCCGGCACACCAGAAGGGCAAGGCATCAGACCAAGACGGATCGCCATCGCCATCGCAGCCCTCAGCCCCCCAGCCGTCCCCCCTCTCTTCTGCTCCCCCACCCCACTCACCTGTTGCTGCCGCCAGTGCTGCCAGTGGCCCATCTGCAGCGGGTGCCGCCAAGAACAAGAAGAAGCGCAATCGTGACATGCGAGATGCGTCTGGCGACCAGAAGGCTGAGGACGACGACGACATGGACGGCCGCCCGACTGGCCGCGCCGGCAAGCGCGTCAAGAAACAGACGCCGGTGAAGCGCGGACCCAAAGCTGGGCTGCCGCCGCGAACGAAAACGGCCAAGAGCGGCAACAGTGGCAACAGTCAGGCGTAGACAGACAGACTGATTGGAGGCAGGGGTGTGGTGCATGGATGTATGGGATGGGATGTAGAGGTAAAGGGACAAAACGGTACTCTGTGTGTGTACCTATACATATGCGCGCACGCGTGGCTCCCCCCTTTCCCAGGGGCAGAGAGTTTACGCGGGCAATCTAAACGCTTGGCGGCAAACTAGCGCAAAATGGAGGTGTTCAACGAGGACATTGACCGCCTGTTGTCCTACCACACAAAACAGCAGGTCAGCATCATCGACCGCTACCTCGGCCTCACCAACCTCACCGTCCAACTCCTCATCGTTGCCTACATCGCAGGATACGTACGTACCCCCGACAGACAAAGATCCGTCCGCCCATCCATCCATCCATTCATCCATCCATCCATCCATCTGACCCCTCTTGTATGCCATCCCTTGTGCAGGTGTTTTGGTACGACGAGGGCTACAAGGAGTACGAGCAAGCCAAGGGCACCACCAGCACACACGTGTCGGGCAGCGTCCTGGCGCAGAGCAGCGGCTCGCTGCAGTGGCGGGCATTCAGCGCAGATGAGATTGCCTACCCGCCGCTCGAAAACGGCAACGTATTCATCGCTACAAAGTCAGCCTGGCTGCCATCGACAAACAAAGAGACGAAATCTCTTTCGTTGTCCATTTTGTGGTGCGTGTAGGTATGAGGTTCAGAATCAGACACGCGACGTGTGTGAGGATATGGATCGGCCCTGCACCACCGATGCCGACTGCGCATCTGGCCAGGGCACATGCACGCCGCAGAAACTGTGCAAAGTAGGGCGAGTGTGGTGCAGAATGGAAGATATATGGCGCCCATCGTGTGTCATGCATGTCTGTGGTCAGGAGCCCTCGTGGTGTCCAGAAGGGACCAACAGCCGACCAGAGGTGTGCACTGACCTCAACAGCGGCTAACGAGATAGGGTTGGCCTTCCGTCATGGCCATTTCTTCCGTCAGGTGTTCAAGCTGCGTGTGGCGGAGAGCAAAATATGGATCAAATCGGCAGTGCAGTTCCTGCAGCTGCAGCGGAGAAAAGTCTTGTACACACACACACACACACATATATATATATATTTCTCGTCTAAACATGTGTGCTGTGTGTGTTCGTTGATGTGTGTGTCCATGTTGTTGTGTCAGCAAGAATTCGATGAGTCTGCCGATCATGTACCCCGAAGAGGGCTACAACACGTTCACCGTTAGGGATCTGCTCAACCTCTGCGACCCACCTGTCAGGTGAGTGATGCATCAATAAACACGCGATGAATCCCCATACACATGGCTGTCCTTCCCGTGTGGTGTGTCCTGCAGGTATGAGGAGGTCTCTGAGCTCGGAGCGGCCATCGAAGGTAAGGCAGCTGACACAAGCCGCCACGACCCTCATGCCTGTCTCCCATGCTCCGCTCGCTGTTGTCTGTGTGCAGTGCAGGTGAATTGGCGGTGTATGGTGGAGGGCCCGCCCACCAACTGCAGACCAGAGTACCGCGCCAGGCGACTCGATACACTACTCGACAACAGAAACGTCGGATTCACATTCGCGTAAGCAATACACGGCCGGCTGGGCTCCATGCGTGCACTGTCTCTTCTTGCCCCCTCCCCCTGCTTCTCACATTGACGTGCCTGCAGATATCCTGAGTATGACCTGAGTGACCCTGACCGGCGTCGGCTGAACAAACTGACGGGCATCCGCTTCTACATCAGAACTGTCGGTAAGACAGAGAGGCGATGGGGCTGATTCTCGATTCTGCTCGTTGGTGCAGGCACTGGATGGAAGGTGTCTATCACAGCTATCATCTTCAAGGTCTCAGCCCATACATGCATTCGTGTCGCAACGGGGGGCCACCCGTCTGTCTTTCCATCTGGGCTGCTGTGCAGCTGTCCACAGGTCTGGCGCTGCTGGGTCTGGCGCCCATCCTCACCGACTTCCTCATGCTCAACTGCATGAAAGGTACGCAACTCTATCGATCACCAGAGTCAGTGACTGTCTTGGCTGCCGGTATGGCTGGCTGCAGAGCGGCGACGCTACCGTGCCCGCAAGTACGATGTGTCGCAGGACTTCAGCGACTTCTTCGACCAGGTGAGCCTTCATCGCATGACGGCATGTCCTGCCTGCCTGCCTGGATGGATGGATGAGTGCATCACGTGTGTGTGTGTGCAGGCCGCGCAGCAAGAGGTGAAGCGTGAGCGTGAGGACAGCGAAGACGAGGATGAGGATGTCGAGGAGGAAGTAGAGGAAGACGACTAGCATCCGTGCGCATCCATGAGACAGACAATTATGATAGGAAGGGGGTGTGTGCCTTCGGCCGGATGGCTGGCTGGCTGAGAGCTGGCTGAGACTTGTGCGACACGGTGCTCGATGAAGTCATTGTTCATTTCAAATGATGAAAGCACGACACATCGCCAGCAAATATAACATGTAGGCAACGAGAAGGCAGGTCTGTCAACTCCTCAACAAACGTCACGATATAAAATGCAGGCAGCGATAAACATTTGCCGAAATGTTGGTGTGCGGCATGTGGCACACATTGCCATACATTGAGCCAATACCACTCATTACAAAGAGAGAGAGAGAGAGAGGGACGAACGCGATGCGGGTGTGTGGCTTCCTCACCACACCACTCTTGGCCTGCGCCTTGGCCCTCATGGCCTGCACCTGGGTCTTGGCCTTGGCGTCGAAGACAGCACCAGCCTACATATACACACACAAAAGAGACAGAAATATATATACACAGAGGGAGAGACATGAACCCACGGTGAGGTGTGAGTTGTGGTGTGTTGCGTACTTGCGGGGCAGATGGCGCCGGTGCGTATCGAATGGGCCTCTCGCGAACACGCTTGGCTGAATATGGAAGACAACACGCACACAACACAGACAGCAGAATGATCCATTGCCAGATTTGCACTTGTGGCACCATCTCCCCTTTCACCCACCCTGTGTCTTTGCGATGGGCTTGTTGGCCTTGTTTTTGCTCGCCCGGCCAGACTCGGTCTTGGCTATGTCCTTTTTGACCACCCGCCCTGGCTTCGCGGCCTTCGTGCCAAAACTCTTGGGAATGACGCGTTTCTTCCTCGCTGCAGGCGGCTGGTGCTGTCCGGGTGGCGGATTGGCTGCAGAACGGCTGCGCAAGTTGTGGACGCGTCGAGCAGAATCAATTAAGCAGAATGGGTTTTCTCCTCTTTCTCGTCTCGCTCCTGTTGTTCGTGCTCCTTTTCCTCCTCTCGCATTAGCCGCCTCACCCCTGCCGCCCTTGGCCTTCCCTTTGTCACCTCCCCGGGGCACCCTCTTGCCCCCTCGCCCATCCCGCCATCTCCATCGTTACCCACGGGGCCAGCAGCCTGCCCCTTGTCTGCTGTAGGTGTGGCCTCCTTCTCGGGGTGCTCTTCTTTTGCCAGAGCCGCCCGCTGTCCGAAAGGGATGGCAGCCGGAGGGGAAGGCGGAATGGGAGGAGTGAGGTCGTCATCATTCTCAATAGAGGGCCGAAGGCTAGGTCGAGAGCGTGGGAGAACAGGAGATGCCGCAGAAGGTCCGAACTGACGGGCGATCGCTGAGAGCACCCTGTGTTTCTTGAGCTGCAGAGGAGAGGGCGTTTCTTCATCCCCAACGTTCTCCTTGCCGCTGGGCGGCTGCAGGTCCCGCTGTACTCAGGCGGCGCTTGCGAGGTGCATGCACCGGCTGTGCACCTGTATATCATCCACAATAGACTTGAGATGTGTGACAAGGCATCATTGACATGGCATTGCATGTGGCGTCTCACCAGTTGTGACAGCAGCAGCAGGAGAAATAGCAGCAGCAGCAGCAGCAGCAGCCGGTGCAGCCTTCGCCTTGGGTGCCGTCTGTGGGGGCTTCTTCTTGCGGGGCTGCAGGTAGCGCATATTCTCGCCAGTGTCCGTCTGGTCGATGAATTCGAATCTCCGCTCGTCGATGTCATCGCTTGACGATGCAGCTTTGAGTGCATCAGTCAGCTCCTTGATATTCCAGGCGACAGTCGTCTTGGGTGGCTGTATGAATCACACACGACACACACCCACCACACCCCAACCAAAGAAGGCAGATTGCATGTGTGGTTGAGTCCATGCAATGCTTTTCATGTATGACCTGGGGTTTGACGATTTTGACGTTGGCTCGCACGACAAAAGGCCGTCCTTTGTGTTGAAAATAGCCTCCCTCCGGCCTCGCCGTGACAACAAAGACATCACTACCGTCATTGCCGCATTCGAATTCGATGTTTGCATACGCCTGCAGTCATGACAAAACACACACACACAGATAGACAGAGCGCTATGTACTGTGCGTCATGTTTTGGAGCACCTCTTAGCGTGTGGGACCAACTCGGAGACCTCCCGGGATACGAGGTGGGTCAAAGAGCAGGAGGGAGCCTTCGACACACCTCCCACTCAGTGAGCAGGGCCATCGAGCTGCATGCTGCCGCTGCCACTATCGATACCTGCCGCTTTCGATGGTGATGCGCCTGCTCGTGTTTCTGTTGGTGCTGCGGCGGCGGGGCTGGCTGGGGGCGGTAGCGGTGGTCTGTTGATGAAGGCGTCTGTTTGGTTGGTGCGCTCGAGGCATTTGGCCACGTGGGGCTCGATATCGAGGAAGTCGAGCCACCGCCTGTCGATCCCACCGGTCAGACAGTGAGTCTTTTGTACCTTCTCGGCAGTGTCTATCGTTTCCAGCGGTAAAGCAGGTGTGCCGAAGCGGCTGGAGTCACATCATCCAATAGACATCATCAGCCGCCTGAATCAACTTCTCACTGCACACACAGAGACAGCCACAGGTCTTTCGGTAGTCGCGTTTGTTCCGTCCCCTGAACCCACGTGAACCTGCGGTTCTCGTTCTTGTCGAATGGAGCCACGAAGGGCTGCGACGTCTGGGGCTGCGGCTGGGACTGCGCTTGACGCCGCCCTTAGGCTGTGGCTGCACCTCATCCTCAGGAAGTATGAAAAAAGGCGTAAGCCGCCTCCCGGAGTCAGGCCGACAGGGCATCGACCGGCTGCCGAGATCGTGGTGGGAGCCTCTCATCCGGGAAAAGATGGCAATCTTCTCTTGTCATAAACGTGTCCTGCGGCTGAGAGTCTTTGTATCCTTTTCTCGCCCGTCTCGTTTTCTCGACATGAGCTTCGGGACGGAAAATGAGGGGTTCCTCGAGCCCTGCACCTGAAACTCTCGCCACAGCCACTTACATACCGCCGATTGGCCTTGTCAAGGAATTCATGACACTCTTCGTCCATTGACCTACTAATCAGGTGTTGGGTCCTTTCTAATTCAGAGTAGGGTTTAAACCCTCAACCCTTGGCACTCTCCGCTTCGTTTTGTCTGCGAATGAAGATCTGCGGTGCCATTCTTGCGGCTGCTGTCCTGCTCTTCCGAGCGGACGCATCCCCCTCCCCACCCTCCCCTCTTGTACCAGCGCGGCTCCGCCATGCAGCAGTCATCGCTCCCCACAACCGGCGTGCACCCACCAGATCTCTGCTGCAGAGGATACGAGGAGGTGCAGTCTTCGCTGCTCCAAAGAAGGGAGTCGACAACGATGAGGATGAAACCAGCAAGCAGCCAAAGGTTCCTGCGCCGGTGCCGCTGGAGCTGCCTGTCGTCGACAGAGCGCTCAGCAAGCGGCCTGATCTGATGCTGGTGGACGATGCGGCCGGCAGCGACCACTCTGTCATCACCATGCACCCCAGCCGCCTTGAGAAGCTGGGTCTCTTCCAGGGCGACTATGCGCGTGTGCGTGGCAAGAAGAACAAGGACACGCTGGCAGTGGTGGATGTGGACGACAAGATGGATGAGGACAAGGTGCGCATCCCGCGCATCGCCCGGCGGAACCTGCGTGTCTACGTGGGCGACGCCGTTTCGGTCAAGCCCTTCGAGCGGATCAAGAACATCAAGCACGTGGTGGTGGTGCCGTTCGATGACACGGTGCAGAGCATCGCTGGCGACCTCTACCAGCACTGCCTCAAGCCCTACTTCGAGAACAACTACCGGCCGCTGAGGAAGGGCGACCACTTCACGGCCACCTACACGGGACCGGGTGCGGGGACGGGCAGGGCGGTGGAGTTCAAGGTCATGGAGATCGACACGGTGGACAAGGAGGATGACGACTATGGGGTCGTCGTCGAGGACACCGAAATCAACTATGAACAAGATCCACTGCTCAGAGGTAGATAGATAGATGGACAAGACACGCAGACACGCAGACAGACAGACAGACAGATCGTGAGACAGTCAGTCAGACGGCCATGTACCGCTCAATCTTCTCTTCTGTGCGCTTCCATTCATTCGTTCAGATCAGGACGACGAGACCCTGGACGAGGTGGGTTATGACGACATCGGTGGGTGCCGTAAGCAGCTGTCGATGATTCGGGAGCTGGTGGAGCTGCCTCTCCGGCACCCAGAGGTCTTCCGCAGTGTAGGCATCCCGCCTCCCCGAGGCGTTCTCATGCACGGCGCACCAGGGTGCGGCAAGACCATGCTGGCCAGGGCCATCGCCGCTGAGACTGGCGCCTACTTCTTCACCATCAACGGGCCTGAGATCATGTCCAAGTTGGCAGGAGAGTCAGAGACCAACCTCCGCAAGGCCTTTGAGAACGCCCAGGAGCATGCGCCGGCCATTATCTTTTTGGATGAGATCGACAGCATCGCACCCAAGAGGGAGAAGGCGGGAGGCGAAGTGGAGAAACGAATCGTCAGCCAGGTGCGTGGCGTGACACACCGACTCAGTGCAGTGCAGGACAGACAAGGCACGGAAGGCATCCAGCATGTCATTATTGTGTTGTGTGTGTGGGTGTGCATCGACCACAGCTGCTGACATTGCTGGATGGCATCAAGCCCTCGTCAAATGTGCTGGTCATCGGCGCCACCAACCGACCCAACGTCATCGAACCGGCACTAAGAAGGTCAGGCGGGGCGGGGAGAGAGAACCACAACTGACACACATGACATGTACGGGTGTCTCTCTCATATCGTTGGGTGCAGGTTTGGCCGTTTCGACCGCGAGCTCGAGATTCCCATCCCGGATGAGGAGGGAAGGTGAGGCGGACGCCACGCCTCTGCTGGTACCTGCCATCAGCCTGTCGTGGGTGGGTCTTGTGCAGGTATGACATCCTTCAGATCAAGACCAAGAACATGCAGCTGGCGCCCGACGTCGACCTGAGGCAAATCGCCAAGGACTCTCATGGGTTCGTAGGAGCCGATCTCGCTCAGGCAAGTCAAACACATGATTGCAAATATGAATGAAGCACAGGCAGGCCGGGCCGCTTATATTGCTGTCTGTCTGTCATGTGCTGTCTCATTCCTCAGTTGTGTATGGAGGCTGCACTCCAGTGCATCCGCGAGAATGCGGGTGACCTTGACCTCGACATGGGCACCGAATCGCTTCCCCCAGAGGTGAGACCACTCAGCCAGCTGACGCAGCAGACGCAGTGCAGCCGCACCTTCCCACCCACTCTGGCCTTGTCACTCATGGGCGTGTGCAGGTGCTGAACAAGTTCAAGGTGAGCAACAAGAACTTCCAGTTCGCCCTGGGCGTGTGCAACCCCAGCGCTCTCCGCGAGCGCAACGTGGAGGTGCCCGACGTCACGTGGGCCGATGTGGGCGGTCTCGAGGACGTCAAGAGGGACCTCATCGAGACGGTGCAGTACCCAGTGGAGCATGCCGACAAGTTCACCAAGTATGGCCTGTCGCCGTCCAAGGGAGTCCTCTTCTATGGCCCCCCGGGATGCGGCAAGACGCTGCTCGCCAAGGTGAGTAGTCGAGACACGATGGGGATGGTGCGTCATGTTGTTGGTGTGTTTGTTGTGTGTGTGTGCATACTCCAATTGATCAGGCTGTGGCAAACGAGTGCAATGCCAACTTCGTTTCGGTCAAGGGCCCCGAGCTGCTGACCATGTGGTTCGGCGAGTCAGAAGCAAACGTCAGAGACCTATTCGACAAAGCAAGGTCGGTCACCGACACGCACACTGACACACCCACGTCATCCATCCGTCATGCCCACACCTTTCCTCTCCCTCTGTGGCCACGGATGGTCAGGTCTGCGTCTCCGTGCATCATCTTCTTCGACGAGATGGATTCAATCGCCAAGGCCAGGGGCGGTGGTGGGGGCGGCGGTGGTGAGGCTGCCGACCGCGTCATCAACCAGATCCTCACCGAGATCGACGGCGTGGGCGAGAAGAAGCCCATTTTCATCATCGGGGCCACCAACCGACCTGACATCCTCGACCCTGCCATCACGCGACCAGGGCGGCTGGACCAGCTGCTGTACATCCCCCTCCCCGACCTCCCCTCCCGCATCAACATTTTCAAGGCATGTCTGCGGCGGTCGCCCATCGCACCGGACGTCGACATCGAGAAGATGGCCGAACAGCTCGCGGGATACTCAGGTGCCTCCTTCCCTGACGTTCTCGCGCTCTTGTGACGGTCTGGTTGACGTGACGTGTTGTGTGTCGTGTGTTTGTTGTTGTGGCCTGTTGGTGGTGTGGTGTAGGTGCGGACATCACTGAGATCTGTCAGCGTGCGGCCAAGTTCGCCATTCGTGAGTCGATTGATGCGGAGGTGAAGAGGGGGCGGCCCCTCAAGAAGGGCGAGCCCGACCCCGTTCCATACATCACCAAGAAGCACCTCGACCTAGCCACCAAGGACTCAAGGTGGGACGGGCGGGCGGGAGTCATTGATGGACCCATCCGCCGATTACTGCACATCGTTATTTGTGCCGTGTGCTGTGCAGGCGGTCTGTGACTGACGCCGATGTGCGTCGGTACGAGGAGTACATTGACAAGATGAAGTCAAGCAGATGTCAGTCAGGGGACACACGGAGGGAGACGGGAGACAGAAGTGCACAAAGGCCATGCTCACTCTTCCTTGCGCTTTCTGTATGTATGTGTGTGCCGAACGAGCAGCATTTGGCGACGAGGACATCGGTGAGGAGGAGGGCGGCGACAAGGCGGGCGAGGGGGGCGAAGACAGGAAGGCCGCCGAGGCTGAGGAAGCAGAACTATACTGATTATCCGATGGCGAAACAAACAAGGGGATATCTGACTGACTGGCGCTCTTTTCCTTTCAAGCGCCTGTTTATCCATGCCTTTGTCCTCCTCCCTCCCTCCCTGCTCCCTCCTCTCTGTACAGCGAGCCCCTGGCCTGCCCTTGTACTGTACAGCAATGTCTGCTTATCTGTTGATGATTTTTACACCAACTGATGTGATGTGCTGCCTGCATGTGCCTTATCATGAGCGGAGGCTCCAGAGACAGCCTGCCTGCCTGCCTGCCTCGATTTTTACCTGTCCGGCCGTGTGTGCAGTGCATGTCCCGTGCGTGGTTTTAAATGATCTCCGGCCATCGTTGCGCGCTCGCATTCGGACAGTCTTACCCGACGATGGCATCCTTTTTGTGTAGATGACATCAGCCAGACAGACGAGAGGATTCAGATATGGCGCTGGCATGGAGGGAGGGCTGCCAACAGCCGGGCCGAGCCGTTCATGAGTGAATCATTCATTGCAGAGATCGAGAGTGCACGCACACATCCACGCGACCCGTGACGCTCGTGGGAAGCGTCAAGGGTGTCGGGAGGTGGCGGGCTTGCCGCTTGAAGAGTGACTGTCGCTCTCTGCCTCGGGCTTGCTGATCCATCTGCCAGTGCAGCGAGTGGGAAGCGAAAGATCAGAATACCGCATTGCAGAGGCAGGCGATTACTACCAGGCTCTTACTATGACACGGCATGCTCCTGCTCTCGTCGTTCCCTATAGCTCGCACCACAGATCGGCGTTTCTCGGCCTCTGCCACTCCCCCCGTGTGCGTGAGGCTCATAGTGCAGTCACTGAGACCCATCGTGCCTTTAGATAGCGAGATTGCCGCGTTGAATCCGATGTTGGCGAGAGCGTCCTCTTGTCCATGACGACTGCTGATGAGCTGACTGGGGACAGATTGCCTGAGCCTGACACATCCGTCCTCAGGGCACAACCTTCAGGTACGAAGCCTTCTCAGATCACGTTGTGTCGCCCTTCTTCACTCTCCCTCTTGTGTGTGTCAAGCAGATCCAGACAAGGACAATGCGTCTGGCCCCTCGGCTGCAGCTGTGCCATCGTCGTCACGTCCTCATGCCCGGAATGACACCATCTCCGGCCACGGCCACAGCAACCATGTTGATAGTCTCGCGAAGCCCTCGGCGCCCATCGATGGCGGCCACGCACACGACGAGATGATGGCGGGCGACTCACCGCCCAGGCCATTCGGTCTCGGGGCGCAGCCGCCAGCCGTACCGTCAGCAGATAGCCGTCCAGAGGACAAGGGCATCAAGGCCAGCCGTGACAAGGAGGATCTGCTGCCTGGGCTGGCCAACGGTCCCAAGAGCATCAAGAAGAGGCGGAGGGTGGCCAAGAAGAAGTCCAAGGGTGGCATTGAACCCGATGACCTCATGGACGTCTCTCTCACATCGGATACCCCCCAGCCACCCGTGCTCAACGCCTCGGCAGCCGTCAGTGACGACAAGGCGCCCGACGAGGCCGTCCCAGGACCTGCAGCGGTCGACGGCCGGTCTGCTGCGGGCCCGATGGCCGTCGATGACGCTCAGGAACCACACAAGAAGCGCAAGCTAGACGAAGAGGGGCTGGGAGGGGGAGATGGAGAGGGTGTTGTCAAGAAGCCCAAGAACGACTTCATGCCGTCGCCCCCGGCCCCCTTCCATGAGCCACGTCCCCAGTCCCCGCAGCCCGGCGAGAGCCAGCAGAGTCTCGACTCGCAAACCGCCGATGGCGCGTCGCCGCAGCCCCTGGCTGCATCTGCCCACCCAGCGGCCAAGGTGAAGGTGATGAGCCTCAAGAAAAAAGGCGATAAGGGCGAGCCGTCGCCGGCGTGCGGCAAACCCGTGCGGCTGTCGACGCGCAGCAAGAAGAAAAAGGACAAGAAGGCCACCTCACACTCGGGGACCAAGGAGGATGGCTCATCGGCTGCAACAGCTAAGACACCCACTCCCAGGTCAGTCAATGAGACGCGCTCGTAGGCATCCATTGAAATCTCCCACCAAGGACTGATCGTTTCGTATGTCTGTGTGTGTGTGTGGTGCAGCCCGACAGACAGCCACAGTAGAGGTCCGTTGTCGCCCGTGGGTCATGCTGTGGCGGCCCCGCCCATGGCCGCTGCAGCGGCCGGCGCATCTGAGCCGTACCTCAAGTCGGTATTTGTGACGGAGGAGATGGTCAGGACCCTCAAGGCGCTGGACGTGTCTCTGAGGCACCTCCTGGGGCTCAAACTCAAGCTGCAGCCACCACCCGGATGGCACAATGCATCAGCCAAGGCCAAAATCGCTCCCATCTGGTAACCATGAGACCGAGAGACATCCCACACACACGCGCTCCTACACCTACCCGTCGCTGTTGTGTTCTCTGCCCACCTCAGGGAGCTGCAGCTGTACGATTGCTCGCCCAGCTTCGAGGAGCATCGCCTGCAGCTGACGGCCGACCCCTCCCCCTCCCCCGCATCCCTCGAGCAGCGCCAGACCATCCTCACATCATGGCTGCGGGTCATCGGGGCCCTTCACGACCCGTCCGCCTCACCCACGGCCGAACAGCCAGCCGACAGCACCGCCCCCACCTCCCGCATCGAGCGCTTCAAACAGAGTGTGGTGTCCGTCTTCCTGTCTGTGCCCGACTGGCGTCTGTCGTTTATAGCGGGTTACCGAGGCGAGATGGGTCGGCTGGTCAGGGACGGCGAGGACCGCATGAGGGAGCTGGGGCAGGTGCTGGAGAGCGTCAAGGGCAAGTGGCAGATGCACGGCCTGGAGGTGGTCAAGCAGGGCGGCATGCCCAAGAAGGTGCTGCTGCAGGGTGGGCCGCTGGCTGCCCTCGACGCCGTCACGTCGTTGTGGAACGAGGTGAGGGAGCGGTCGGACGTGGCGGCCATCCAGGTGCCCTACTATCTCAAGCGACCGGTGCTCAACTGGCTGCAGAGAGCAGACAAGGAGAGGAACAAAAATCAGAGTGAGTCACGAACACAGGGATGGACACACACACATGGACGGACGCATGACATCTCGTGTGTGTGTGCGTGTGTGTCAGTGATATACTGGGTGATAGGGTCTGGTTCGCCTCCCTACATGTTGGACGAGCAGGTGGAGCGGTGCGCCCTCTACGCCCAGCTCCTGGCCGCCCTTCACATGGACATCGACGCTCAGGCGCTGAGAAGAGCAGCAGACCACACACAAGTGGTAGGCATGCACTTCTGCTACTATCGACAGGTCGTCACTCCGTCCTTCTCCTCGCTCCTCCCCTCCCCTCCCATCAGGCGCTTCATGATGACGCCTCATCTCCCCTGCCCGATTGCTTCCACCCCTGCCGCGAGCGGGCGTCACTGCCCGCCGACCAGCTGGTGTGGATCGCCCTGGGCGGTGCCCGCGACACCCTCGCCAAGGAAGTGGACGACATCAAGGGCAAGGTCCTCAACACACCCGTCATCGACTTCGACATATGCCCCCTCACCGACCCATCCCTCGACATCGCCCACCTCGAGCGCATCGGCGAGTGCATCCTGGAGGCGCAGCAGCTCAAGGGGGCCGTCCACATGCCGCGCGTGAAGGTCCCCGACGGCCATCAGCACCAGCCGACCAGTAAGGGTCCTTCGATGCTGTTCGTGCTGGACCCTGCCAACTGGGGCTACAAGGAGGGCGGCGGTGCGGGATTCATCTCAGACCCCAAGGTGGCCAAGGCCAAGGGCCACCTTACCCAGCTGGCCAACTACGTCAGGGAGTTCCTCGTCAAGGGGTCCCGTGTGGGGCTCAACTCCATCGAGGGCAAGCATCGCGCCCTCCTCGACCGCAAGAGGCACAAGAATCAGGAGCAGGCTGGTACGAGAGGGGAGGAGGACAAGGGCAAGGGCAAGTCGGCCGCTGAGGCCAGGGCCGAATACAGTGACCGGCTGGCACTGAATCAGGTCCGTGTGACGAGAGTCAGCCGCTGTTTGCTGTGGCGTGCAAGTCACTATTGTGTCGTGCTGTCTTGCGTCTGCTTGTAGCAGATGATTTTGGGTGCAGGCCAGATCGGCCTGTCGTCGTACACGCAGGAATCGGAGCGTCTCAAACAGAGCTACATCGACAATCGACCCAACAGCCGTAAGCACACTCTACAGACCCCCCACTCATGGCGAGCCTGCAGGCAATTCGTCTGTGTCGCCCCCTCATCAATCAGAGCTCGTTGGTGTGCCCGGCCAGCCGCCGCCTCCCCCACCGCCTTTCACCCCGGCCCCCCCGCCCGAGGATGGGTTTGACCTCGCCTTTGAGGACTGCCAGCCGCCTCTGTTTTCCTTCCCATGCGAGGCCATCAGTGCCGACAAATGGCTGCACGGCGAGCACCTCATGGAAGAGGCACAGCAGAGGCAGCAGGACAGGAACCACCTCACCCGGCGGCCAGCATTCGGCAAGGAGCTCTTCGTGTCACGATACGCCGAGAGGGCCTCGACGGTCATCTCTGCCGACGGCGTGCGGGGCATGCTGCAGTCCTTGATGCGCGTGCACGCCCCCGCACCTCCCCCGTCGCCGCCCAGGAAGCCCAAAGTGACCGCCCCGCCGATCAGCGAGGACCCCATGTGCGGCGATGTGTCTGAGGAGCCGCCCATCCCTGGCGTCACGGAGCCATCCCCGTGGCTGCCGAAGCCGGCCCGCCGTGAGGCACCTGAGGGTCTCGAGACCGTCAGCAGCGATGAGGACGACCGCAAGGACGACAAGCGGCCAAAGCAGAGTAGCAACAAGCCTGATTTCACACTTGGCTTTGGCGCCGGCTCAGTGTCGTACAGCCCGCAGGGAGCGGCCAGGCCACGGAGGCCTCCGGACGCCGGCAAGCAGCCCAGGCCCTTCTCGTCCACGTCATCCATCACATCTGAGCATCCCTCTCTCCCTCCGGTGCCCACCGAGTCACCTCCGCCCGCCCCGTCTGACCCACCTGCTCGCGCCACCTCACCCAAGCAGGCAGCTCAAGGCGGGAGCGACAAGTCGGCCCCCGCCGCAGCTGCAGAGGATGCCAAGGCGGATGCCGCAAAGGACGCAAGGCAGGGCGGCGGCGCGGTCGGTGAGGCGGCCCCCGGTCATCAGAAGGAGGTAGCTGCCAAGGCGGCCACTTCTCCGCATCGCAAGGGGCGTGCAGATGATGACGGCATGAAGGCCAAGGGGGACAGCAAGGATAATGAGCGACGAGAGGCCGTGAAAGTGTCGCGGAAGCGGGCCCTGGGCGACCGGCGTCACGCCCAGGACATCAAGAGCCGCTCTCGATCTCGCTCGTCTGCACACAAAAGGCGTCGGAGAGAAGAGGCTGAGAGGCGCGGGCGTCACGAGAGGCACAGCAAGGATAAGGGCAGCAATTCAGATGAAGACGAATCTGACGAGCACCACCGGGAGCGCAGGCGGCACAAGAAACATCATCACCATCACCACCATCACAGTGCGGACAAGCAGCACAGAAAGAAGAAGCACCGCCACAGCAGCTCGTCCGAGGAGTCCTCCAGCGACAGCGACAGCGGCCGCCGGCATCGGCGAGGCGCAGAGAGTGACGACGGCAAGAGGCCGCGGGGCAGGGAGCCCATCTCGAGGGACCTCTCGCGCGACAGGGGGGACACAAGAGACGACGACAGGCGCCCCAGGCACGACGACGATCGACGCCACCGCGGCCGTGACGACATCGACCGCCGACCTCGCAACCCCTTCGGTTGGTCGCCTCCCCATCCGCATCGACCCTCGCCACCCAAGAACCGACTGGGCGATCGTGGTGCCCAGCCGAATGACCGGCCAGACAACGACAGGGCAAGTCGGGACAATGGGCCGCAGCGGATGGTGGCCACGGATAGTCGGGGCGACAGGGGCGGCGAGAGGGATCGGGAGAGGGACAGGGATGATCGGCAGTCGATGAGGGGGCGGGAGAGGTCTCCGCACCGGCGGGAGGCCGGCAGGGAAAAACGACTGCTGGGCGACCACATACCCAGAGGACAGAAGTGAGGACATTCGTCAAGGTCGTGCGACCACGAAATGTGAGCCCTCTCTCTGTGTATGGGAAGAGGACGTGTGTCGATGTGTTCATGTGTGTGAGTGTTTTGATGAGCTGGCTAATTTCTGTCCGACCGACCGATGCATGGTATGGCACAGATGGGTGACGCGTGTTGGCTACCGACATATGCTTCGTTCCAGCGACATGGATGCGTGTAGGCACTCTCACACACCGAGGTCTTACAATGCACCAGTGCTCACAAGGATGGCCGTTGCCAATCTGTCCATCCAAGACATAGCTAGCCAGTAGATGATACGATCGTCAGCCCATTGCATTGCCGCGAAAAGGGGAGGAAGGAGAGCCGCCGCTCGCGGCCGGCCCCCTCCTTGTGCAGCAACGGGACATGCATGTGATGTGCGTCTGTCTGTATTTACATGTGCGGGCCCATGGCTCGGCTATCTTGTCACTCGGGCGGCGGGGGGAAGTCAATGACGTGCTTGGTCCCGCCGAAAAACCGTCTGCTCCCTCTGATATTATGATAGAGACAAGGCAGGGAGGCAACATGCAATCAGTAGGTGTGTGTATGGGTGAAGGAGGGGCTGCGGCTGTCACGCCTTTCTTTGGTTGGTACCTACCCGAGTGTGGGTGCGGCCAGTGAGCCGTATGCCTCGAACGAAGGAAAATAGGTCAGGTCGCCACCTGACCAAACCAAGGGAGGGGCAGAGGGATAAGACAAACAATCGACCGCTTTTCTCGGTCTGTTTTTGGTCTGCAGAGTAGCTTACGGAATGTCGCTGCGCTTTGTGCCTTCATGGCGGCGTTTTTCCTAAGCTGGGGGAAACCTGTGCCTGCACTCGTGTGTGATGTGAAATGTGTGACGCATGAAGGACAGACAGACACGTGGACCAACCGTCCATCTGTGCGTGGATTATGTAATCATTATCGTCGTGTGCTGGCTGACCGCTCCCTCCCATTTTGATGTCTTCAGCTAATGACCACACTGCAGTCATCGACGAGGAACAACACATCCAGACGCACCACGCCACATGTGTGTGGTGCACCAGCAGTGGGTGTCTGTCTTCCGTACCTGTGGCGAGGCAGTACGCCTCGATCAAGGTGAGCGAAACCATCGACACTATCACAAACATACGCGTGGCCCCACAGGCAAAGGCCTCGCCACCTTGCTCTCTGCACACACACATCCATCCATCCATCCATCGCTTCCATGATCGGCATACATACGTCAGCGCGCCGGGGATGAAAGCCTTAGAGCAAAACCCCGTCTTCACGCCGACAACAATGATGAATATGACGTCGACGACGAAGCTGATGGCGAGGAACACAAAGTAGAGCCGCACGCTGGTCTCCACTCGCCGCAGAGCGCCCCAAATCCCTGCAGCTCCAGCAGCCATACATGCAGAAAGAGGATGATGGTTGACCACCGGGGCTTGGCTGCATGTATACCCACCCGTAATGATGAAGGGAAGCGCCACCAAGCCGAATATGGCCGCTGACGTCCAGGACAGACAGGGCGAAAGTATACAAGTTTGTGTGTACAGTACGTTTGCTGGCTGGTGGGTACCGTACTCAATGTTTGTTGCGCAATTTCTTGGTCTGATAGGGTGGGTCCCGCCTCCGCCCGCAACACCAGCGTGGCCGTCGTCAATGCAACAAATATCACCGTCTGGATCTGCAGAGGGATGGATGGATTCATGGATGGACAAGAAGGAACAAAGGGGCTGAATGCTCGTCCATCCGGTGCGGTTCTGTGTGGGAGGGCGATTCCTCTGTCCATGGTACGTACGTACCAGGTGGAGCGTTGCGATGAGCAGCACCTGCACAGCACAGCTCACACACAAATCGACCGACCATCGCAGATGCCATGCAATCTTTGCTGTGTGTTGTGTGTGCGTACTGTACCCCAAATGTGAGGCTGCAGCCGCAGCAGAACTCGCGAAGGGGCGCAGCCATCGCCTTCCCTTGGTGATGTGTAAACTCGATCGGGAGGAAGGGAGAGGAGGAGATGAAGAAAGGAGTCAAGACTGATGGAGCGAAGAAAGGGCTTCGATTCGATGAGTCGGCTGCGGGTGACGCTGGGCGGGACGATGCTGTGTTGGTCCGGTTCGGGATGCTGCGGACTTACAACACCTATCGGACCTTCTTTCGGCTGAAAGTGGCGAAGAACGCACAGGTCAAAGTGGTGGAGATCACACCTCCATCCGCAGATATCAGTCTGAGGGAAGATCTGGAGAGCATCAATGAGGTAGGTACATGTACCTACGTCAGCAGAACCACACTCACGCACACGGCATCCAGCATACAGAGGCAGACGGTTCGTGGCACTCATTGCCGCGTGTGTGTACGTGTGTGTTCAGTTGGATGAGGAGGAGGTGGCGGATTCTGACTTCGCGGCATCCAGGCGGCCGCCCACCGCATCAGGGGCACATCGCATCACAAGTGAACAGACGGTCCATCCGTGTCGCACTAGACATCTTCCAGATGTCACTGCATCCTGTGTGTGTGTGTGTTTGTGTGTTTGCAGCATTCCGTATCGACTACACACCCAAGTACTGCGGGGCGTTCTCATACGTGGCAAAGATGGATGTGGGGGATGGCACAGTGGAGGTCACCATCAAGGGCAACGGCATGGGTGACTTGACTGAGTGAGGGAGGGAGTGGCCAATCCATATATGGGGTGTGTGTGTGTGTGTGTGTGTGTGTGTCAGATCGGGGTGCCGGGAAGCCTCAGCTGCGGGCGGGTGTCAAGGAGATAGCCAAGGGAGATCCGCCGCTGGACAGCGAAGCGGAGAGATGAGATAGTGAGTGGAGTGGGGTCACTCGCGGCGCGGCAGGGAGCGCTTTTTCTGTTGTGTTGCTATGCTACTGTATGTATGTATACGTGTGTGAGTGCGTGTGTGTGTATGTGGATGCGCCGTTGCCTGGCCGTGGGCAGGTAGGTGATGTGTACAGCCAGCTGTGGAGCTACTTACTCATCTGCATGATGAGATGATGTGTAGAGCTAGCTATGATCGGTGTAAGGACTGTCTGCCTCACGTCACGTGGGATGTGCACAACCCTCGTGCAGTGAGCGCAGTGCACGGCTGGCCTCGCTTGGACTCTGTCTACTGCCGTGCAAAGCACTAAGTATATCAAGCAAGACGCTCTGCTCGCTTCATCTTCTTGATGATCCAATCAATACCACGTGACGTGGTCACTCTGCCATCCACAATGCCACACGGAACATACGCACGGCACGCAGTGCAGTCAGGCATGGAAGAAAGAATCCGTGGCACTCAGAGTGAGGCCGCACATCAAGCTTCCGGCCTAGAAGCTTCTCTGTCTCTGCACAGACTGCCCCATCACGGCCACCCCGCCACGTTGCGGCGGTTCTACCTCTTCTTCCAACAAATAATCGCTGAACAGCCACCCCTTGTGCATCGTCACCTGTGTCCGCGGCCTGCCGATGCCACCTTCACCAATGATATCATCACCCTTGCTCCCCCTAGCCTGGTCGACCCACTGGATGGACGAGCCCTTCTTGGGCCTGGGGGAGTCTGCTGCTGATGAAGGGGAGGCTAGTGGGGCCTCGTATGCGGCGCTCATCCTACGTTCCTCGCGAGCCTGGTCGGCAAAGGCCGCCTCTGACCTCATGCCACCGACGTCTCGGAGCTCGTCAAAGGCCTGCGATAGACGAACAGAGAGCCCTTAGTGCGTGCGCGTGTAGATGGACGGGACGGACATGTGCGTACCACAGCGTCCTGCCACAGGAGCCGTCGAGCGGACACGTCAATGAGCTCGATTGAGGGGATGAAGGCCAGGTACTTCCACGACAGCAGGTGCAACCTGCACACACACACGGAGACAGACAGCCATGAAAACACACACACGTGCCTCCGTCGATCGTGGAACCAGCCGTGAGACAGACAGACAGACAGACATGCATGAATGGCCGGCCACACAAGAGAGTTCGCTTACTGTGTGATCTCGCCGAGATTGAGCTTTCTGGAGGCACAACCGATACAAGACACCAAGGCGATGGATGGACAAAGAAATGTGTGCAGCATACCTGCGGACGATTGCCAGGCAAAGCCTCAGCCGCCAATCCTGGGCAACACACACAAGTGAGCCAATGAGAGACAGATGTAAGTGCCCATATCGCTGCTGCGCTCACCGTGAAGGCGATAAGAATGGCATCCACCAGAACAGTCACCAAGCCATAACTGCCCACACACACAGACGTACGACACAGGGGCATGCAGCACCAAGCATGCCTTTCCCGCCGCCCACAAGCCCCGCTTGCTTACGCATGCATCAGCGGGTGGGCCCCATATCGGGAGCTGCTCACGATGGTGACCACGACGATGAACAAGACGGCGTGCCACGGCAGGTAGTACCCCGGGTGGGAGGGCTCGCGGTCGTTGAGGGACAGCACCGACGACACGATGAGGGTGGCGTACGCAAACACACGAAACAGCAGACACCAACGCATTACAAACGTCTCCCCGTCCATCCTGATGGATTGATTCGTGAACAAATGGATGGACACACGCCACTCGCGTCTCCGAAGAGCCAGCCATCCATGCTTCATTGAGACTCAGTGTGTGGCTGACCAGTGCACGGATATGACGACAATGGTGATGAGGCCCATGATGGCATAGGCGAAGCACGCCACACACGTCAGGTACTTGTTGATGTCACCTATCCACTCGTCGTATCTGATCAGCACAGAGACCCCGATGAACACATTGTGTGCTGCGCATAGTCCCTGTCTGTACATGTATTCTCGTTGCTCGAGGGAGAGGCGGGCTGCATCTAATGTGTCGGTGGAGAGGGAGAGAGCGGCGCCGTGTGGCTTCTTGATCATCTGCCTCAGCCAGAAGAGGGTGTTCGTCCTGCCTCTTGTCGGACGCTCCAAGGGCGACTTCATTTCTCGCTCTTTCCGAACGATTTGGCCTTCTTCTGCAGTGAGAAATGCTTTGGCCTTCTGCAATGAATGCAGCCGAAGGGAGTAGCGGAAGTTTGCGGGCTAATCTTGCGGATCGCAAATAAGCGCGCAAATTTGCAGCAGACGGCAAGGCGGCCGAGGGAGGGACTCATCGTCCGAAGATCAGCACCGTACCCATCAGCGAGCCATGTCCGACTCAACGAACGGCTCGACCCTCCCCCTGGTGGCAGCTGCAGGCGCCGGCATCGCGTGTGCGGTGGGCATCGCGGCGTACATCTACCACCAGAAGACCAAGACCAAGAAGTTCCTCAACAAGGAGCGGCAAAAGGTGACACTCATCGACAAGATCATCGTCTCCCACGACACGCGCAAGTTCCGGCTGGGTCTGCCGGGCAAGAACTACATCCTGGGGCTGCCCATCGGCAAGCACTTCAAGCTCTTCGCACCCAACATGAAGGGCAAGGTGGAGGGCGAGTGGAACAAGCGGCCGGATCCCGAGGCCGGCAAGGCAGAGATAGAGAGGAAGTACACGCCCGTGACGGGCGACGAGACGCCGGGGCACGTGGACCTGATGATCAAGGTCTACAGAGGGGGGGAGAAGGACAGCTTCCCTGACGGTGAGCGAACGATGCGATGCACGATGTGAGCTGCTGGATGTGTGTGTGTGTGTGTGTGTTTGCAGGTGGGAAGATGTCGCAGTATCTGGAGAGCCTTGAGATAGGCGACACGATTGACATGATGGGGCCCATTGGCATGATCGAATACAAGGTTCGACCGACACTTTTAAAAGGGCGACCACTCATGGCAGGCCATCAACACACTGCTGTTGTCTATCCATCCATCCAGGGCAACGGTCTGTTCACGTATGGCAAGAAGCAGATCCCCAAGAAGAAAATCGGCATGATGGCGGGAGGCACCGGCATCACACCGGTAGGCACACACATGCACTCATGGACGCCTGCCAGTGACCTCTCCTCCCACCCCCCCC